GACGATGGCTGCGGAGGACGGGGCGATGGTCACAGCGGACGCCGCCGCCGCCGACGGTCGCAGCGAATGAGGCGGACGCCGGTGATGACGCCAACCTTGGCGGAGGAGGCGGACGCACACAACGGTTACAACGGCAGTGGACGACGACGATGGGCACGGTGGCGATTGCGACGAACTTAGACACGGATGATCGGTACAAGGGGCCCCAGAACCTTGGGCGGAGCGTGCAGCTGGGCGACAAATTAGTCGCCCGCTCGCGCTCGCGCTTGACCCCTCTCTCCTCCACGTAATCGCAAAATCCGAGCTGGCGTTCTTATCGTCGATTATTGTACCCGCTCTAACAGGTGGGACCATATATTAATATTATAGTAAGCAACTATTGTATAAATTGACTATTAGATTAGCTATAAATAAATTGGAGCTAGTAGTGGACTATACTATTAAACTTCAGTTCTGATCTCTTGCTGCATACTTGATCATGTGGTTAATTAGCGTTGCCGAGATGCGTAGCCCGGTTGGCCTAATAAACGTAAAAGCCTATATTTAAATTTTCAAAATTTTCAAAATTGAAATTGCAGATGGTTTTAAGATATTTTCAATATACTTTTTTTCTAGTATTGACTTCTAAGTCGATACGAACAAATATATAAAAAGTTGTACCTATAAATTAACTCTTTATTTTATGTTTAAGCTTATTAGGAAATATGGACAACCAATGAGGCTCCAAATGATGTTCGGAAGGGTAACTTTACCATCCTTAAAAAAGTATATCGGGAGATACCATACTTTCTAGTGTAAAAATTTAGTATCTCCGGATACTTAGTACTTCGATGTACCAAAAACTAAAAACTTTAGTGTAAAATTTATATACCTCGAGGTACTTTTTAAAGTAACATAAAATTTCTCTTTTCGGAAGCTTTCCCGGCCGTTACCCGACGGGGTTAGTATGATTTCAAAATTCAAATCAAACCATGGCTAATGACGGTATATAACATTTAAGTTCTTGTAGAGTATAATGACGGTCAATAACATTTAACCATAGCTAAAGTTTTTCTCTGCTACTAGTTATAGGTCCACGCGTTCAACATTTTCTTTATTCACTTTAGTGGAGGATTTGGATCAAATGGATTGTTGGTTTTTAAAATGATTGGTTTTCTTGAGAAGTCAAAGTCAGTTTTATTTTTTTTTAGAGTGGACGGTTTTTATGGAAGAATAATCTGGTGCGCATAGTACATACTTCCTCCGTCCCATAAAAAATCAGCATAGTAATGTACCACATCCTAGCACTACAAATTTAGATATACGTATGTTCAAATTCGATGTATTAGAACGTATCACATCCATTTTTTTTTACGAAGCGAGTACTCCATATATCAACATATGCTAAATATGCGCATGGAGGAGTCGGATTATAGCAGGTACAATAGCAGGCTATAAACCAACTGCAAACATATTTTAAGGAGATAAATAAGAAGAGAGAAGAGCAGTGGACTATAAATTTGTAGTCAGCTGTAGCACGAACTTTAAGACGTAGTGTGTGTAACAGGTAGGAGCAGGTATTAATAGTGTAGTATGTAACTATTGTATGGATGAGCTATTAGAATGGCTATAAATGAATTGGAGCTAGTAGTTAGCTATACTGTTAAACTTGCTCTTAGCTCCGATTTTTGCGACCCTTGTCACAATCACAGTTGATCGAGTACCAAACTTTCCATTCGTGGATTCCGTTGGTGGCGTTTTTTCCGAGGGTAGTTGGATTCATCCACAGGATGATGCAGACGTGTCAGCTGCTACTATCGTATTGGCAGGCAGTACAATCAACACTTATCCAGACATTGTAGCACACAAGTACTCCTGCTCTTACCACAACAAAAAAAAAATTAAACAAATATTTATCCAGATTCATCCTCAGAAGTTAATTTTTTATGGGACGGTATGTATATTTTACACCTTCAATAAAAATCATTTTTTATTTATAAACCTTTATCTTATAAACATGAAAAATACCATATCAAAATCATAGCTAGAATTGATTTTATAAGATCATAACTATCACAGGTTGGAATGACAAGCACATCAATGTAGAATCAAATGCTGGCTCTAGACACGTACTCCCACTGTCAAAAAAAAAAACCAAATCCCAGTGTTGTGGAAGACGGAATACGGATGTCGGACGGGGAGAGTACCGCCAAACGATTAATCGGAATACGGATGATTAGTCGGAATATGACGGAAATTTAACGTTTTGCAAATATAAGTACATAGTTAATAATAGTTTGTCCTTTTAGAGGTAATTAAATCCATATGAACACATTCTAGTTTCCTAGTATATATATTTAAATAGAACAACCATAACATGACATTAACTTAACATACACGTACTAAAGTTAATAATGCAAAAAATATCATAATGCATATTTATGCATTAACTAGTGGTAGGTTCAGTTTATAATGCCTGCCATTGCTGCTATAACAAATTATATATAATAATACCATGATAATTTGCATTACACGTTATTGAAATCTTATACTAGTATTAGTGCATTTGAAAAATATTTGGTCTTCAAAGAGATTAATATAGTAGTACATGCATGCTGTACAGGAGTACGAGAGAAGACAACTAACAGGATAGGCTATTGTGCGTGGGCTGGGCCCAGTGAATTTGATCATGCCCGATTATATACTGCCAATACGGCCGATTAGTCGGAAAAACGCTGGATTAATCGGTAATAACAGGAATTACGCGTTTTTGGACGACTAATGAGGACCGTTTTGCCAAAATGTGACGGACTGCTTACCGTCACCGTTTTAACGGGCGTCATAGCGGCCGTATCAACCGTCTTCCACGACACTGCCCAATCCTGAGTTTAAAACTGGACACCGTTTTTTTTCGAGACGGAGGGAGTATGCCTTAGGCTGTATTCTTAACTCAAAGTTCCCAACCTTCGTCTCTCATTTCTCACATGCAAATTTCCCGAATTATTAACCGATATATTCTTTTAAAAAAATGTATAAAAAGTTGCTATAAAAAGCCATATTAAATTATTTTTAAAATTTCTTTAGCTAATACTTCATTTATCATATTTTAACTATCGTTCCATTAGGTTAGGCGCTCCTAACCCCTTCGGAATTTCTTTAGCTAATACTTCTTCCGTTTCACAATGTAAGACTTTCTAGTATTGCTCATATTCATATATATGCTAATGAATTTAGTTACATATGAAACGGATGAAGTACTTCATTTATCATATTTTAATTATCGTTCCATTAGGTTAGGCGCTCCTAAGGGCAAGTACTATAAGCCTCTACATGTTGCCCCTAAATTTGCCACATAAAATTAGGTGATGAGTTGGAGGAGAGAAGTTAGGAGAGAGAGAATGAGCCACCTCTCATGAAAGGGGCAACCTCCACATAATCTCTAAGAAAAATATAAGATGATGTGAGAGTAAACTAATATTGGGGTTTGTGTACTAGAGGTGGCATGTTGTACTTGTTACCTCTTAATTAATGAGAATATGACATGATTTAAATTAGATCTGGTACTCACCTCCATTATAAAACTTACCCTAACCCCTTCGGAAGAACGCGACCTTTAATAAGCTCAAGGAAACAAACCCAGGCAATTCGGCCGTTCAGTTCTTAAAGGCCCATCCACTATACGTGCCAGGCTATGTAGGCCGTAATCCGGGCTTTCGACGCGTTGAAGTCACTAGTTAGCCCATAAGTATACGGGCCTTGGGTCACCCTAACCTTGGCAACCCAGCCGGACGAGGATACAGACCCAGCGTACGTAAGACGTACCTAAACAATTCTTACAAACTTGTATGAACCGTTTGATTTAGTTAACTAAATTTTTTAAAAAAAACAAGATTTAATCACATCATGATACGTCAGGATTTGTAAAATGTTTGTACAAGAAAGTTTGCATATATCTTTTCCCTGCCGTGGAAATTACTACTCCATGAAAAGAGCTAGGCTAGGACCAAACTATTTTTTTTTCTGCTTTCTACTTAAAAGCTCAGCTGGTTTCTATAGACTAGCTATACTGTGGGTGACATGTCTTCACTGTCATGCATATCTATATCCAAAAGTCAGAATGAAACTTATATATAGACGTAATTTAAGACGGTAAAATCCCGCTTATATATAGACCAGCTTAAAGAAATAATAGCGGATGCTCTGACCGTCTATATGTGATAAAATAAGCAGACAAACAAAGGCCATCTAGAAGAGAGACATACTTTTTCGAACTGAAAAACCCTTTTCAAAAGATCATGGAAGTAAACCGGCAATGCAGACAAAATAAGGCGTGTTTACGAGCGTAGAGGAATTAGGCCTCGTTCTTTTTCTAATTAAGATGAGATTCTATCTCAATTTGTGTTAGCACGCCTTTAAAATGGTTGAACGGTACAACGTTACTTTAAAATATCAAATAAATCTATTTATTAATAAGTTGTAATAATTAAAATTTAGTTAATCACGCGCGCTGATGACTTTTTTGCATGTCCCTTATTTAATCTTAATTTTAATCTTACTCTAAACACAAGTGATACTTGTTCTTTGCGTCTCAGCTTATTACAAGAGTTACATATGAAAAGATAAAACTGCTTTCGTAACATGAAAATAATCTAGGACTATTATAGCATATTCTCGTACCCTGCGGCTCCGACTAGCTGGCCAGCGGCCTAGCGTTGTACTCTATCCATCAGCTGTACTAAAAAAAAACTATTTTTACGTGCGATTAAAATTAATTTTTCACATATAGCTGCCAGTAACGTAAACAATCATCGTTCCACCGTCATCGAATATAACTCAGATAACACAAAATCAACAAAAATACCTTGGGAAGCGGATCACGGTTTCAGAAGTCAACGTTCAAATATCATATCCACGCCATGTTAGTTTGCGTGCATATGTAATCTAGTGACCAAAATCTGCATTCTACTATTGCGTTCACCGCCTATAAATACCGTTGCCTAGCGCTGTCACAAATCCAACACAAATTCCATCTCAGCATTTTCTCCAGTTTTTCTCCTACTCTTAACTCGCTTGATCAGCGTCAAATCTAACAGACAGATCCATCGATGGCTGCTTCCGAATTCCGATCCGGCCGTCGTGCCGTCGCGCTCGTCGTCGTGATCTGCGCCGTCCTGCTGCTGTCCTCCGCCGTGGAGCGGGCGGCGGCGCAGGTGCCCTGCAGCAAGTGCGACCACGCGTGCAAGAAGTCGTGCAAGGGCTACGGCCGCGACTCGTCGTGCAGCCTCCCCTGCGGCGACCCATCCAACAAGGCCGGCTGCGAGAGCTGCCTGGACGCCTACTACCTGAAGTGCCTCAACTACTGTGGCCAGTCCTGCCGTGTGACCTGCACCAGCGGCTGAAAAAAACCGTTCACGCTTCAATTCGTCTCTGAGCTCACGGCGCCGGCCGCCGTCGTGAAGCCTTTTGATGTGTCACGTAAATGTATGTACTGTCTCGATCATATGTAGTTCTGTTACTTTCTCCGTTTCATGCATATTGCAAGTTATTTTTGTTTTGTCCTATTTCAGAGTACTCCTTCGTCCCAAAAAAACTCAATTAAGGAGGGGTCACATCCCGACCCCTCCTAGGATGATAGGATGATGAATCTGGATAAAGGGTAGTCTAGATTCATAGTCCTAGGAGGAGATATTGAGTTTTTTTTTTAGAACGGATGGAGTAGTTTGTCACTACTAGTACTCTAGTAGTTCAAATAAGCTAGCGTGTGGTGATGCACGCAGCAACGCGCTGGCTCGGCTCGAGCTCAACTACAGAGCTTGATTTTTAAGTAAAACAATATATATTTCAAAGATAATCTTTTAAAAATAATTAATTTCTAGTTCATCATATTAATAGAAGAGGAAAAAAAGAATAAAATAAATATATGATGTCAATATAAGACATACAAATAATATATTTGATCTCCTAATTTATTAAATAACAACAAAAAATCATATATTATTAGGCTCGTTGGAAGCTCGAGCTCGGCTCGATAAAGCTCGCGAGCTTAGGGAGAGGCTCGGGCTCGGCTCGTTTGGAGCTCGAGCCGAGCTTGAATCGAGTCTAGAACGAGCCAAGCTCGAGCAGCTCCAGTTTTCGAGTTTTTTGACAGCCCTACGGCCGGGTCGGCTGCAAGATGTGTTGGGGGCGGTAAGCGATGTATCAATGGCTTAATGCTTTGTTTCGTTAATTGAAACTCTTATCGACGTCTTCGATTTTCTCACTGCTGCGTAAGCGAAACTGGCTACATTCTTTGGTGAGCTCGATTCTCCGATTATCCTTGTAAAATTTAATTAATCACACTTCGAGCGCTATTTATATGGGGGAAGTTTTACCGTGCTTAGTGCTGACCGTTTATCACATCCGATCAATCCAATATTGGCTAATATTTACCTTTGCCTTTTTAAAGTGGGTCAATTGGATCTATATTATTACAAATATGTCATTCTAGAGAAATATCATTACTATTCGTCTATTCGTATCCATATCATTCGAACACGAACAAAATTAAAACCATGCTATCGCCATCACATTTTCTATCACATATCCTTTTCTTTCCTTCTCATTTTCTTTTCTTCTCCTCCCCGCCAGCAAGATTCGAGAGGCTGATTCAAGCGTCCATGGGATGGGGTCAACGACAACGACGGCTCTTCCTCCTTCTTTCCCCTCCACCACAACCACCGCTGCTCCAAGTATAGATGCGCTGCCGGCTAGGGGGAGGGACCACCAACCATGGGCGCTAGCGTCGACTCGGACTCTAGGAGGGGCACTATGGCCTTGCTATCGAGGACGAACTTAGCCTTGGAAGAGACGTTGGCAGTGTTGAATGCTTGGGGAAGATACCGAGGTCGATGGAGGTTAAGCATGAGCTACCCATGAAGGAAGACGGGTACGGTGCTAGAAGCGGCTCAGATCCTCACCGGCGAGCTCCGCCTCCCCTCTCGTCCATGACCCTCCGCTTCTCACCGGCGAGCTCCTTCGAGGCGCGGGGTAGGAGTAGCAAGCGGGAATGGCTTCTCCAAGTCTCCGAGAGGCGAGGGGTGGGCTTAGGGTTGGGGGAGGCCGGAGCCGGTGAAGTCCGCCCAGGCATTTCATGTGGATTTGGCTGCCGGCGACCCAGGATTGGTGGAAGGGTGGATAGTGGGGGAGAGAGAGTAAGGAGGATCTGGCGATGTTGTGGATCGACGGTGGAGGGTGATAGCAACGACGATGGAGTTGCAGCGCAATGGCCCTGATGCGGTGACAATGATGGTGCGGAGGATTCAACGGTGAGGGAGGCGATAGGGGAGGCAACAGCCAAGGCTGCCTTTGCCCGGTCGCTCCTCCCTGTGTCCCCACACTTTTTTTATCAGAATGTCCCCACACTTCATTGTGGGGGCGGCATTGGCATCGACATCGCTGTTGTGGTTGGCTAGCTGAGAGGGGAAGGGAAAGAGAGGAGGAGAAGAATAAATTGGGGGAAGAAGATGAAAAATATGATAGCGATGACATGCCAACGTCTCTCTGTGATGTGTGTAGGCCCATGCACATGTATGCGTCTATGGGTACATGCTGCCATCTAAGCAACCAACCAACTATGTGATATGGCGCTATCAGCTGCCGCAACGGTCGTGTCTTCATCTCTAAGGAGGTGCTCGATCACAACAACAATCCTAGCTAGCCTGGCCATCAAAGCACTAGTACAATAACGATTTTTTCATGCGGTCGAAATTGGTTTTTGCGTGCGGATGTTTCACCCGTCTAGTACGAGGTGTCTGCGAAAATCATCCGCTCCGTTCCCACCACCATGGCTGATGCCGCCACCGCACTCGCCTCCGCCGCCGCTTCCGCCACTCTAACCCGATGTCTCCGTCTCCGCCGCCCTAGCCGAGACCGCCGCTGCCGCCGTCGCCGGGAGATAAGAGGAGTGGGAGGAGGAGGCGGATAGGGAGAGGGAGGAGTGGGTGTGGGGGCGAAGAGGGAGATGGGAGGAGAGAGTGGGTGTGGGGTGATCTGAGAGGGTGATGGGATCTGAGAGTCGGTGTGGGGCGGCGACGACACGCGCGATTAAAAGGTGGGTGGCTATTTTCGTGTACGGGCCACTTAGCATCTATTTTCGCGTGCGGACCTATTAAGTGGCCTGCTTGTTAAAATTAATTTTTTTCGTGCAGTCGTCTTAAAGAGCCGCGCGTGAAAATGGAACATGATTTTTTTGCAGACGCGACTATTTACGTTTCGTATGCAATCTAAAAATGACTTATGTCCAGAAAAATCATATCATTTATGTAGTAGCGACCTCGGCAAGCTTTCGAGAGCTCGGAGCGCATGATGAGCTTTGAGCGCAAGGGCAGTGCCTCACCGCTGATGACATGGGTCACACTCTCTGGCGCTCACACCTCGGCCACTCCCACTGCACGAAATGTGACTATCAACAAAGCTCTTCCCTGCTGTCGAAGTTACTACTGCATGAAAAAAAGCTAGTCTAGGACTGAAGTAATAGTTTTTTTTTTTCGTGCTGCTTAAAAACTCTGGTTTCTATAGAATACACATTGGGTGGCGTGTCTTCACTGTCATGCATATCTATATCCAAAAGTCAGAATCTAACTTCTTGGTCATGCATGGCTCATCTAAGACGTAATTTAGGACGGTCAAATACCACTAATATATGTAGAACAGCTTAAGATCAAAGAATTAAAGCGGGTGCTCTGACCATATAGATATATGCGATAAACGGACAGACAAAGAAGTGATCAAGACATAGTTCTACACATTGAAAAACCGCGGCCCTTTGAAAAAACCACGGAAGAAAACCAATAATAGCCACGAACATAGTTCAATAAGAGGGACATAAGTTACGCTTAAAAGTGGTTGATTTGGTGCTAGCCTTCTCTTTGGATGTGTGTAGACGCTGTCGGTGCGTGGTGGTTAAATTTTTTCTTTCCTGGCGAATGTCTCCTAAGGCAATAGTTTTGTAATTTCTTTCTGCTCTATTCAATGAATGATCGTGTTGTCTGTAACTGATCGTTTTAAAAAAATAATAGCGACCAAATGAGGAATGTTTACAAACGTAGGGGATTACTCAATCTTTGTGCCTTGCTTACAATATTTTTTTAAAATTACACTTTACAACATAAACACTCACAATGCACGCATACTCACCCTATGAATGCACGTACGTAAACCCTACCCTTATGAGCATCTTCGATAACTGAGCCGGCAAATCTTGGAGATTGACGAAGTCACCACAGGCGCCTCGCTATCGACGGGTACATCGTCTACCACTGAAAACATAATAATTACATATAAGATAAAGAGTGAATTTCACAAAACCACAGTTATTGGAGTATCCGTTACATAAAACCCTGGTTACTGTGATTTGTTTCACGAAGCCCCATGTTTTGAGCCAAATGTTTTAAGAAACCTCATATTCATGTAAAATACTCATATTTTATTATTACATAAGATTGTTTTCTACATCAATTCACATTAGTTGGCTAAAAGGACATATTCTTCTCGTCTACTTCATTTTTTTTCTCAATTTTGTGCTGAAAAAGATTAACATAATACATGTTAATTATAATATAATAATAGGTTAAATATACACATAAATGATCAACGCTTGTTAAAAAGCAACTAATGTTATATATGTACTAAAAAGTATCTCATACATTCTCTAAGATAAAAGTGCTTACAGATAAATATATAAGACAAATAAACAAATTGCAAAACTGGGCGTTTTGTGTTACAGAATCCCCAAAACACGGGTTTTCTTTTTGAAATTTTCTCTAAGATAAAAGTGCTTATAGAATCATAGCAGGAAGATAATCCGGGAGTATTATAGCATCTGTACTTCTCACCTCCTAATTAACCCTGCACCACCGTAATTAAACAATAATCGCTCCACTGTTATCAAATAGAATTCATATAACACAAAATCATCAACAAATATACATTGGGAAGTGGAGCACGGTTTAAGAAGTCCACGTTCAAATATCATCATATCCGTGGCACGCCATGTTTGCTTTGCATCTGCAATCCAGTGACAAAAACCTGCAAGTTGAAGTATCGCGTTTACTGCCTATAAATAGCGCTGGTAATCTGCCACAAATCCAACACATACGCATATCTGCATCCCCTGTTCTTCTCTCCTGTGACTTGCTTGATCCACATCAAATCCAACGACAACACCAACAGACCAAATAATGGCTGCTGCTTCCGGCCGCCGCCGTGCCGCGGCCTTCGCCGTCGTGATCTGCGCCGCCCTGCTGCTGCTGTCCTCCGCCGTGGAGCGGGCGGCGGCGCAGGTGCCCTGCAGCCAGTGCGACCAGGCGTGCAAGGAATCGTGCAAGGGCTACGGGCGCGACTCGTCGTCGTGCAGCGCCCCCTGCGGCGACCCCTCCAACAAGGACGGATGCGAGAGCTGCCTGGAGGCGTACTACTCCAAATGCGTCAACTACTGTGGCCCGTCCTGCCATGTCACCTGCACCAGCGGCTGAAAAGCCCAGCCGGCCGTCGTCTTGGGCCTTGTTTGGATACTCCGTAATAATAATTAGCCCTCCCAAATTTTACTATTTAAGAGTATTAAATATAAATTACTGATAAAACTCATTTCATAATCTCTGGACTAATTTTATATTCGTCTTGCAAATTAGCTTGGTGGTTATAAAATAAGTTTTATCAGTAATTTATATTTAATACTTCTAAATAGCAAGATTTTAGAGGGCTAATTATTAGCCCGGAGGATCCTAAGGCCTTGATGTGTGTCATGAGGATGCACCGTGCATGTACACGTACTGTTAGTATTGTATACTAGCAATAGTTAGTACTGCTATTTCGAATAAGCTAGCTGGCGTGGATGTACAGTATATGGCTATATGCCGACCGGCTCTGTATTTCATATATTGTGGTCAATGCTTCCTTTCGTTGTTACCAAGGTCTTCTAAGACAGTGGTATGGTCACGAAGAGAGGTACTCTGTCTGGTTTTATTTTAATTAACGTTTCGGATAATGGCACTGTTTACAAAATATTACCTTAATTTTCTATTATAATATACATAATAAATAAATGCATGTTTATTTTTATTATAGTGTTTTGAAACACAAATCTATATATCTATATATGTTATTCTAGTTTCTTTAAACTTTATTAATGGTCAAAGTTATAAAAGTTTGACTTTAACCTTGTCCAAAACGTTAATTATTATATAACCGGAGGGAGTACTCCTAAAACCTATCAACAAATATTTAAAACTGTTTTAAGACAAATCTAACCCTATGATTTTTCAACGATAAATTTATATCTCGAGAATTTTACGGATTAATCTGTTTGATAGGTGGACTACTGTATTACTCCCTCCGTTTCAAAATGTTTGACACCATTAACTTTTTAGCACATGTTTGACCATTCGTCTTATTAAAAAAATTTGTGGAATATGTAAAACTATATATGTACATAAAAGTATATTTAACAATAAATCAAATGATATAAAAAGAATAAATAATTACTTAAATTTTTTGAATAAGACGAATGGTCAAACACGTACTAAAAAGTCAACGGTGTCAAACATTTTGAAACAGAGGGAGTATCATACTAGTACCAAGGAACCTTTGGTTTTAGTTAAACTTTGTCACTCCCTCCATAAAAAATATAAAACTTATTTTGTTTCGTTAGGATATGAACCTTTGACAAATGCATATGATTTTGTGATATTTATGTTGTTAGATTCGTATTTAAAGTACGAAGAAGGTGTTCAAGGCCAAGTTTGGTTCTATTTGACACAGTTATAGCTCCCAACTTCAACTTAATTAGAATCGGAGTTGTGCCAAACAATTCAGATCCTCTGTTTTTGGGAGTGTAGTTAGCAGAGTTATTCCTAAAAAATATACTAGGGGGTAGAGCTGGGTTGTTGCTGCTCCACAACTCCACTCCACCACAAAGGACCCACTACCCTTTAATTTTAAGAGAATCCACTCAGTGCCACTGAGTTTATCGCACTTCTATAATGTACCACTGACTTTATCAAGTTCAATTATATACCATCGAGTTTTCTTTAACATCTACTGTGTGCCATCACAGTCCAGTTAACATCTGTTACCTCTCTAAAAAGACCTATTTGCCCCTAACTCATTGTACATGGTATTTTTTTTGTCCAGGGAAATATGTCATCGACGGTGGAGGTGAGGTCGGCGGCTGGTCGCGGTGACACTGGGACAGGTGGTTGCGGCGAAGGGGATAGAAGCGCCAGGACGCCGGTGGCGAAGGTGTAGTCGGTCACCGGTTGCAGCCACGCTGCTGGCATCGTTACTTGGGCGGACGGTAGCGATGGCGGCGCCAGGTCATCATTGGGGAGACTGGCGACCGGCGGCGTGTAGACGAGAAGTCGGCCGACCGGCGGCGCGTCGACGGGCAGTCGGTGGGCCAATTGCGCGTCGACCGGGAGTCGGCGGGCCGCCGACGCGTCAAGGGGAGTCCGGCGACCGGCACATCGATGGGGAGTCGGCGCCGTCTCGCTGGGAGACTGGGAAAGATCGATTTGGGGGTGGACGGTGTGCTAGGGTTTTCAGGTTTTCAGTCAACTGATTTTCTTGGATGGATATATTAGTCAAAGGGTATTTTAGTCATTAACAAAAAATTCAATACAGCAAACAGATGCAAACTAATGGCTCATGGACGGCGATGGCACGCAGTAGAGGTTAAAGAAAACATGATAGTATATAATTGAACTTGACAAAGTCAGTGGTAAATTGTAGAAGTGTGATTAGCTCAATGGTAGTGAGTGGATTCTCACTTATTTTTTTTATCATATTTATGTAAAAATGCCACTAACTACCCTAAACCACCTCACCTCTCCATCCCGTAACCCACACCTCACCTTGGAGCAGCAGGCGAACAAGTTTGGCTTCCGGCGGCGCGCGGTTGGCCGGCGAGTGGGCGGACGGCCGGCGCGCGCACGGGCGGGCGGCCCACAGCCGGTGACGCGCGCGCGGCGGCTAGGAGACGCATGGCCGGCGGCTGCTAAGGCAATGAGCAGGTAAAATCCGCTCAACCCCTTTTCCATTTTATTTGATTTCAGATCTGGACCAATAGAGAAATAGGGTGATTTTGCATTATATGTTGTGGGTGATTCTTTTAAGGAGATATGCCACTTTTTTATCACTGTGATGTTCCATATGAAATTATAGTATTGTTACCGTTGCCACCATGATCAAGATTCAAGACCCATGATCTACATGTACATGTACTCTTTAAAAATAAAAGATCTACATGTACTAGGTTTGGTACTTATGGTACTAAGCATGATAGCGAGGTACCACCCTTGGTACCTGTGAGAGCATCCCAGCAGATATTGTAACCGATCCTCCATCCCGGTTTTGGCGTGTAGAGGCGAAAAAACGCCCTCCAGCGGATGCGCTAACCCACACGCTAAAATTAGCGGATGCGCCATAGTAAGAGAGAAGAGGTAAAAATAGTGTTTCTCTCTCCTCACGCCATTTCACCCCCAACACCTCCGGATCGAGATCCCGCCCCCATCCAGACATCGGCAACCACCTCCCCTCTGGCGAGCCTTCCCCTCTATCGCCATTGTCCCCAACCGGCGTAGGTGAGTTCCCCATCCCTGTTTTTTGCTTTTTTTCAGCGATTTGTGGAGCGAGCCTTACCAGATTTGGGGCGCCGTCTCCATGCGCCTTCCTCCTCCGGCGTGCGCGCCTTTCGTCTGTTGCCGTCTCCCCGCGCGTGGTCACCGCCCTGCGCCCGCCAACCGCCGCCGCCCCTCGCTTGCCGCTGTGGCCCTACGCCCACGAGCCGCCGCCGCCGCCCTGCGCCCGTGAGCCACCGCCGCGCCTCCCTTGCCGCCGTCGCCCAGCGCCACCCCTGAGCAGCCCGCCGCCGCCGCCCCTCACCATCTCCCCCGTCCCTTTGCCTGCCTCTCCCTGTTTGGAAAAGAAGAGCTCTTTGAGAGCATAGAAGAACAGATAAAACGAAAGTTTGGAACAGAAGAGCTCTTTTCAGTATAGAAAATATAATTGACACTTGACACTTTATTTATACACCACATTTTAAATATATCAGTTAAAAAGATTTCCGTTAAAATCTAATTGAAATATTATCACGATAAATAAGTAGTTCAAAAAATATATCTCTTAAAATACAAATGTAAGGTTAGTTGGAAGATATTCTTAAAATACAAATGTAAGGTTAGTTGGAAGATATTACTAAAATATAGAATGATGGGATATGGATGAGAAATATTTTTTGGATGATACTTTATACGGGCATTTGGAGAATCAAATATAGATCATCTACTGGGGATGCTATAAGTAACAAGACCGGTATTCACGTGGTAGCAAGCCTAGCTAATATCCATCTCGTATCATACCGTTCGGAATGGAGAATTCCGTTTAATAGCAGTCAACATTCATTTGTCCCTGCTCATAGAGCTTGAGCTAGGAGTACACCCTCCTCACCCTAGTGCGTAGGTCAGTGTACCTAGAGCCGGCGCCTTAGGTCTTGTTGAGTTCGCGGAAAGAAATATTTTGTGTGTCACATCGAACGTTTGACCGGATATCGGAAGGGGTTTTCGGGCACAAATGAAAAAACTAATTTCATAACTCGTCTGGAAACCGCGAGACGAATTTATTAAGCATAATTAATCTATCGTTAGCACATGTGGGTTACTGTAGCACTTATGGCTAATCATGGACTAATTAGAGCAAGTTTAATAGTATAGCCAACTGCTAGCTCCAATTTATCTATAGCCAATCTAATATCTCATTCATATAATAGCTACATACTACACTATTAATACCTGGTCCTACCTGGCATACATACACTGCGTTTTGGAGTTCGTGCTACAGCTGGCTACAAATCTGTAGCCCACTCCTCTTCTCTCTCCTTATTTATCTTCTTAAAATATATTTGCAGCTGGCTTATAGCCTGCTATTGTACCTGCTCTTAGGCTCAAAAGATTCGTCTCACGATTTTCATGCAAACCATGCAATTAGTTTTTCATTTTATCTATATTTAATGTTCCATGCATGGGTCTAAAAATTTGATGTGACGTTTCTGGGAAAAAAATTTAGAGAACTAAACAAGCCCTTATTGTCGTCACGAGTTTGCCGCTATATTGGGATGGGGCGACCTGATTCAAGTTTTGGTTGGGTGTCTTTCTTATATATGTAGAGTTTCTATTTTAGATAAGCTACTAAAGTATTTTTTAGACCGTGTAATATACGGATTAGCGACTAGCTAGTAATATTGCTCAATAGTCAGTCCTAAGTCAAACCTCTAGGATCTAGCTCCAAAAGAGTTGGGTAGTCGGCCAATCAACACATGCATATCGATTTAACTAAATCAGAAGCTCTGACTTTATAAAGAAAATAAAATGGCGCAAGGTCACGTTTGAAGTCAACACTTACCATGCCTTATCTGATGCATGACGTGCACATGCGTTGAGTATAAATATATCCATACTGATAACTAGAAACAATGTTGCATTTGCCATATCCCATATGCCTATAAATAGAAATAGAGAGATACAGTAACTCTCGGCCAATCAATTCATCAGAGCTAGTTAATTAAGGGCATGTTCAATTTGATACCATTTTCAATCTTATCAAATTTTGGTAAAGTTATAAAAAAAAGCTAAATTTAGTTTGCTGCCAAATTTTGGTAACTATATAAGAAATCCTGCCAAAATTTTAGCAACTCGCCGAAATTTTGGCATAGTTGCCAAAATTTCAACAATGCCAAAATTTATTAATGTTTTTTTTATATCAAAGTGAACAGGCCCTAACTCAAACTCACAGTTGCCTCCTCCTCTCCTATGGCCTCTGGCGCCGTCGCCGTTTGCATCGTACGTGGTGCTGGTCCTGCTGCAGTCCTCCGCCGTGGAGCGGGCGGAGGCGCAGGCCGCCGGGCCGCAGGCGGCGCCGATGGCCTGCAGCCAGTGCGACCAGATGTGCAACTCCTCTTGCGAGGGCGCCGGCAGCGAGCCGTGCAGCTACGCCTGCGGCTCGTGCCAGGGCTGCATGCAGGCCTACTTCTACAGGTGCCTGCCCCGCTGCGGCGACTACTGCCGTTCCAACTGCGTTTAATTAGCAGCTGGATGCCACAACTGGAGAGACGGGCGCGCGCTTGCTTTTGTTGCATTTGAGTGTTATTATGTTATTTAATTATCGCTATCTTGGTCCTCGGTAGTTATATTTATACTCCCTCCTTCCTTAAATATTTGACGTCGTTGACTTTTTTAAACATGTTTGACCATTCGTCTTATTTAAAAACTTTTGTGAAATGTGTAAAACTATATGTATATATAAAAATATATTTAACAATAAATCAAATGATAGAAAAAGAATTAATAATTACTTAAATTTTTTGAATAAGACAAGCAGTCAAATATTTTAAAAAAAAGTCAACGGCGTCAAATATTTTGTGATGGAGGGAGTATTTTTAGAAGTTGTGTTTGATCGATTTGTGACTCTTTATTAGGAGTATATTTGTAGAAGCCATTGATCCTTTGGGTCTATGCATAGCAGCCTTGCACGTAGGTAGCTTTGTTGACACTGTTTCTATTTGGTTAGAAACAAAATCAATGAACTCAGAAGCAAATATTTTTTTAATTATCTTCTTATAACTGAGAAACAACAAAGCTAAAACGCTACTTTCTCCGTTTCATATTATAAGACTTTTTAGCATTGTCCATATTTATATAGATGTTAATGAATCTAGACACATATATGAAGTAAAAAATACTAGAAAGTCTTATAATATAAAACGGAGGGAGTAAAAGACTAGTTTCGATCTTCTGCTGCCTAACGAGCCATACCACACAAAAAATGGAATAAGCCAATCTCGATAGGCAGTCCGAACTCCTACAACCCTCATTCATGTTTCATCCATCTTTGATTGGTTCGTTTGCCACCTTGTCTTAACCATTGGCTGGATCCAATGGATCCAAATTCAGCAACTCATGACCCCCCCCCCCCCTGTGCCTTTGCTCGCCGAAGTCATCCAGGCAAGGGATGCAGAGGAGACACCCCACGCCACAATTTAGCCTTGCACGAACAGATCCGAACACGAGCAAGGCAGATCCAGCGACACTTTCTAAGGTGAAATTGGATCGGGAACGGTCGGATCCAGGGGCGGATCCAACGTGGGTGCAGGGGGACTTGAGTCCCCCCTACAACCACAAGATCGATGGATACCCCCAGAGCACCCCCTTCAATTTTTTTCACCACGAATAATAAACTAAAGGTTCTTAGATGGCTGGATGTTAAAGAAACTGCGTAATTGAGCCCCTTCCCCCCAATTTTTTGTTCCTGGATTCGCCCCTGGTCGGATCTCGACAACGCCATGTCCTAACACTTCTTTTTAGAGAATGGTTTTTTTTTACCTGACCTCTACATCCAACCAGATATATGATGCTATTTAAATTGGTAACTTAGCCCCGCAAACAACCCAATCTAAAATTCACTCCTATGGAGATTTAAACTCAAGACCTTGTGGTGCTACTCATGTCACTGCAACTACTAGGCTACATGCCCTTTCGCAAGTTCGAAACCCACTAGGCTAAGTGCCCTAACCCATATTTTCCTTTCAAGTTCGGAACCGGTATGAATAACATATCATTCATCCGATATCCTATCCTATATTATATTTTTAGAATTAAATTCGGGAACAGATATCTATTTGTATAATATATAGGGAGACAATTAAAGTGTTAAAAGAGATACATTAAGGAAAAAATTATACAATATTACATGTGAGTTCGTAAAATATTGATTAACCAATCTTATATTATATCCGTAGGTGAATTTATAATAGATTTACATTTTTAGATAATGGAATCAAACATCCTGGCCTTTACTCAGAAGAGCTATAGCCAATTATTACAGTCTAGCAATAAAAAAAGAGTGTAGTTTAATGAAACATTGAAAAACCCACCGAACCAAAAGAAATACCCAACCAAAGATACGGAGTACACATTTATTGAAGTATACTCCCTCTGTCCCAAAATACATCAACTTCTGGAATTCAAACTTTGTCCCAAAATAAATTAACTTCTACCTTCTCATCCATTATCGGTTCGTAAATCGAAAAATTGTATTCCTTCAATACCCCTTATCTACCTATCTACCAATACTAATTTGCTATTAATGATGGGTATTTTGGTCCTTTATCCTCTTCTTTAATCATGCATTGGGAAGCTAGGAGTTGTCTCTTTACGAGACAGAGGGAGTATTTGTGAATCTCCATCTATAATTAGCAAAAAGTTAAATAACCATCGTTTCAAGCTTCCAACATGCAACTCTTCTCGTATTTTAACCTATATATCCTTACATATTTGAATTCGAAATCGAATGGTACCAGTATATCATTTTCTCAAACATACCATATTCTTTCCGCGAGCCATAGGTCAGATGAGCCGTCGAGAAATGCCGTACCGTTTTCATCCAGTAGAACTTAGGTTGAGAATAGCTCATCATTGTCCTGACGATGCCGCTCCAGGCCCAGTTTGGGCGAGGCGACGTTATCGACGTATCCGAAAGAGGAAACCCATCGCAAGTCCAACCGTACGTGCACGAGAGGCTGCACGCGACGTCGCGTCCTCGCGTTCGTCGGCGGCGAGCGGCCATCTGCTCCGATGAAGCCGTGACAACTGACAAAGACGGAGGGACAGCCTGGCATTGGTTATTCATCCACTCGCTCTGACGCTCTCCATAGATCAGGGTTTTAAATATCCCGCTATAGCTGCCGCTATCTCCCGCTATAATTGTTTGAGAAGGGTTAGCTATTTGCTCTCATGTACAATTTAGCCGCTATAGCTCCATTTAGTCCGTTATAGCTGTCGCTATAGCTGTTTGAGAAGCTAATCGCTAAATGGCTTAGCCCGCTATTTAAAACATTGCTATAGATGGGCCGTTAGTTTGCCTGATTGCAGGCGGCCGGGGGTTCGGAGGCGTGTCTTCGTCATCAACTCATCATCCCGCATCTGACCAAACCAATACAGCTTCTTATGTTTGTGTTTACTTAAACCGATATATGCTTATCTGTAGTCGTATGTTAGCTAGGATGGTCAAACAATCATCATGTACGAATCTGATTAAACCAGGTCTAGATGCTCTGACTTGCAATATATTGAGCATCGACTTGCCATTGTAAACTCCTTAATTAGTCAACATTTTACCACGATCGGAGCATACGCACGCTACCCCCACATGCACGCATGCTGATCATGCACAGCACATCTCGGTACCCGGTGGTCGCCTGTACTCGCGTACTGCCTATAAATAGGCAGCCGATCGATCAAGCAGCTTAATATAAACTCCTCGGTCACTTGCAAATCTTCTCTATCTTATAAGTTCTGAACAATGGCAGGCGGCGCCTCTTCTCCTAGGGTGGTCGCCTGCGTCGTGGTGGCGCTGCTCCTCCTGTCCTTCGCCGTGGAGCCGCTGGAGGCGGTGGCCGCGGCGGCGGCGCCGGCGACGGCGACGAAGCCGATCCGGTGCCGGAAGTGCGACCACGCGTGCAAGAAGTCGTGCAAGGGCTACGGCCGCAACTCGGACTGCAGCGTCCCCTGCGGCGACCCATCCAACAAGGCCGGCTGCAAGAGCTGCCTCCAGGCCTACTACTCGAAGTGCCTCAACTACTGTGGCCAGGCCTGCCGCGCCGTCTGCATCAACTGATCAATTTCTACCGGCTAAATTCGTCCGAAACTGGGTGCATCCATATGTGTTGTGACTTGTGTAGACGACAGTGTTGATTACTGGGTGTGATCAAATAAGGGAGGCTCTGTGCTGCCAGCCAGTACGAATATGCATGTTTAATTTGCAAATGGAGATGCTCACACACTAATTGCTTGGTTAGTGTTCCGTTCAAGCTAGATTTGTGCAATTATTAGCTATGTGCTGAAGTGATATGGAAAGTTGTGCACGCTTGTTAACCGTTCCACTTATGTACTGTTCTGTTTTACTTATTTACATATTTATGTTCAGATTCGTAGCTAGAATTAGGTTTATTTTGCACGGAGTGGTATATCATGGAACATTGCCTAATCACATTGCATGTAAGTGGTAGGTTCACATGTTAGAGAGAACCAGGCCCGGACGTCCAGGCTTATGGGCCGTAAGCCCAGGTCTAAACTGTTACTACCTAGTTTCGGCCCATTTATCTCCTGGATTCGGCGGAGCAAACGAGCGAGAATACAAAGCCCAGTTCGATCGGGAGACAAATCGGTTCCTCCGGCTCCGATGACCCCGCGGCGGCGCCGGCCGGCGGCGGCGATATGGCGGTTTCGTGGGGGGCTTGAGCGTGTCGACCACCGGTGTGCCCTCGCCGCCGTGGACCGAGACGACGGCGGCTCCCTCTTCTCTGCTTCCCCAGGTTCAGTATCTCCCCACTCCTTCCCTTCCCCTCCCCTCTCATCCCCTTTAAATTTTGCAATGTCCACGTAGTTAGATGCTCTCTCTGCTTGCACGTAGACTAGATGGATTTGTGCGCAATGCGATGGATAGTGACCGTGTTGTTGTCTAGTAAGAGCTTCTGACATGTGTCGAAGGTGGTGTTTTGCTGAATGCTACAACCTATGTGAGCAAAAGAGCAAAATGTCGATGCGGGTTGCCATGGAACTAATTAGGCGCGCGCGATATATAGCTGTATGGCAAATTGGCAATCAAATCACTTCGTAGCCCTTGTTTTCCTGCCTTGTGGTTAATTTCTGATTCCGCTACTGGTTATGCTAGATTTACAAGTAAGAATCGATCTGTGACTGAATGAGATATAATCATTACATTTGAGGAAATTTGAAGAATTTTATTGCTGCAAATTTGACCACAGAAGCTGCCTCCCTAACATCATAGGAGTAAAGCTGCATAATTAATCATCCATATTGCAGCATTGCCTCTTCATTTGAGCTTGCTATGTGAAGCTGCTTAAAAATGGGACAAACACTACAACAGTAACTTTATTATTAGCACTAAAACTTTATTCTTGCATAATTTGTAGCAAATAGTACTATGCAGCTTCATTGCTTGTGCCCTAGGGCCTAAGATAACAGCCACAAACCTACACCAACTCAGCAGCGCGTGACGCGTGCAGCAGTCTCATATTGAGATGCTATTGGGGATGCCCCTGGCAGTGATCCCCTCAGCCGCCCCCTTATTGTCTGACGTGTTGGGGAACATCAGTGTGTAGGGGAAATTGGCTGGACCGACCCGGTTCTTGAGCAGGGGGTCCTTGTTCATGTTCAACACTTTGCTCTCAATCTCCACCAGCTGCCTGCTGAACCTCTTGAATGCTTCCAGTGCCTTGGGGTCTGATGTCCACTCTGGCGTGTCACGCTGCCCAAGATAGATCTCATCCGCTGAGTGCTTTGATAGAATCTCAATGAGCGAGACACCGAGAATGGTTTGGAATTGGCTGGTGATGGTGCGGATGAAGAACTTCTCTGGGTTCTCGTCCAGCTCTGTGTACTCCTTGGAACCCGGCTCGGGCATCGGCCGCCGGCTTATGGTCGGACGGTTTGGAAGATAGCCCGCGTATGGGTACTGCCCGAAATTGACGGCTGCGTGGAGTGCTGATGCAATCCAGATGATTGTGGTGCAGGCCTTGGTGAGCTCAGGCAAGCTCTGCATCTTGGGCCACCAGTCCGCGTCCTTGAGATCACCATGCCCGACTTCCCGCACCTCCTTCCACCATGCTTGCAGCTCCACATCTCCCTGGAGGACACCATCGTTTGGGTAGTAGATGGCACAGTACTCAGTGACCCACTGCTCGATTGCTTGCCAGATCGCCAGGCCATCTGTTGCATAAGGGTAGTCCTTGATCAGTAGCTTCACCTTGGATGGGCTTGATGGGTCCTTGATGGCAATGCCTCTGCATTACAAAATTAGGATGTTATTCAAAGTTATGTTATTGTTGGTTCTTGTTGTGATGTGGCTCTCGGTGTTTAATTACCTCTTTATTAGATCATCCGGAAGGCCCTGTTCCGTGAAGTTCCAGTTCTTGTAAACTGCTGAAGACATTGCCAGAGCATGTTTGCCAGGAAAGACAGTTTGTTCGAAAATGCCACCGCCGTTGATGAGTGTCTGGCGTGCCAATGCATTGATTGTCATCGTGTCGCGATAGTGTGGCTGGAGGAGCTTGTACACAGGGTGTGTCACACTGAGCTGGCGGTTTGTAGCGATCACGAAGGGCTCCATCACAGCATGTGTGTTGAGCCTACAAGAGTTTACATCAATGATGAGGTTAGCTTACTGCTTTCAGGAAAGAACTACAGTTTGCCACTGCCAGTACGTACCAGTGGCTGATAAGCTGGTGCCAACCGGAGTCATTAACAGCAACATAAGCCTTGGCCAGCTGCCACACCCAAGACTCAATGCCACTTGATGCAGGTGTATGGACCTTGCTCTTTGCAGATGTTAGGTTGCCCTCGATGTGTGGCAAGCTCAGTTCAATTGCTAGTGGCTTCAGGGTATCATCATCACGTAAGAACAACAGGGTCCTTGTGGCATAGGTGAAGATACCATCAAGGCTGTTAATGTCAATGAGGAATGGCATGAAATGATCATGATGATCCAGAATGTAGAGCCTGTTGCTATCCAGTGCCTGTGCAGAGCCATAATTGACAACAAATCAACTTTGGCAGTTTGTCAAATGACTATCGATTGCACTGTAAATGAAATGGATCACTGCCTAACCTGTTGCACGCTGAGGCCTTCGAGGTTCTTCTCAATGTGAGCTGGGGTGATTGTGCTAGTCTGGTCACCGTACTTGCTAGGATCAAGAGTACTTTTTGGTGGGAATTCCTATGAACAGAGAATTATACATTAGCATCAGCTTGTTTTGTTCATGCTTGCTAGGAGCACAAAACATCAAAGACTATGTAATGTTGGATAGTTCACCGTGAGACGCCTGATGACCATGGGATTCAGACCAGCAAGAATCTCTCGTGCAAATTCCTCATCTGTCCTCCAAGCAACCTCGTTCTCTGCAACAATGCATAGTACAACAGTTCGCTAATTGTCCACTGCTCATCGACTATGGCAATTGACACAATGGCTAAATCATGGTACCTTTGATGATATCAGGTTTGGGGAACTTGAGCAGGTAGCTGCCTCCAACCGGAAGCAGGTCCTTGATAAGTTGGACAGGGAAGCTCTTGCGCAGCTCCTCTAGTGCTGGGATGCTGGGAAGCTTCAGGCCTCCCCTGTAGAGCTTCAAGATGTCCTCGAACGAGTCAAATTCACCAGGTGTGAGATCAACATATGTGCGAATGGCAGGCAAGATGCCCTGAACAATTGCCTTGATCGAGTACCCAGCAAAGTCTGACATCTTGAGGTGCGCGAAGCGCTCATCGCTTGGCACGTAAATTTGTTCCAGCAGTGATAATCTGCTCTCCGAGTTTGGGTCTGCAGCCATGGATATTCACGCAAATTAGATCTTACTAGTTTATGAACTTGTCTGTCAAGAAGTGCTCTCTAGATGCACAGAACCAAGAGGAACACTGTACCTTTTTTGGTCGGAATTCGGCCAGTACGGCCACGACGCGGGTAGGGGTGCTTCTGCGAGCCACCTAGGACAGGGCGTGGGTTGTCCCTGTCTGGTTCACCGAGGTCATTGTAAACATCGTACCGGTAGATGCGGTCATGCTCTTGATACGGCCCTTGCCTGTCCTCCCCTCTGAGGTACCTCAGCTCGTCTTCACGGTATGGCCTCAGTGCTTCTGGCATTTGGCTGGGAAGGTAAGACTGCATCCAATGGAAGATAAAACTGTAGGAATTAATATCCAGATTCCAGAACTAGAGAAGTCCTCACTTTGCATCACAGACTTCATTCTCTTAATTATTGGCATAATAGATGCATCTGATGCACTCTTGCAGTTGCCACAAACTTTCCATTTGTGTCTAGTCATTAATTTTGGTGTTCGTGATTTCACAGAAACTGTTGCTCCCTATTACTACTTCACTTTGGATGTTCTGCATGTAGTTTAGGAGCTTAATTGCAGAACTTTTTACTAAGTATATGATCGATGATTAATTAAATATAATATAGTCATTCACTATCGTTTAAACTATGCACTTACAAGATGTTAAATTACTCACGATAACCTTAAACAGGATAAGAAGATCTGCCAAGAACAGAAAGGGAGGCGTTGTGGTATTTAGACTTGCTAATCACTCCTGACTTACATTGTTTGCAAAGAAGATACGATTGTAGTGGTACTTTCCAACAGGGTAGATCCAGGAGTTGGCAACAAACACAATAGTGTCACAGCCAGGGACATCATGGAGGGTGATGGTCTTGAGGAAGAACTTGGTACTGTGGTGGTTCTTGATGATGATGGCCCCTGGCACACCATGCTTGTCCATCTCCCAGTTGAACCTCACTGTGAGCTTGGACTCCCCTTGTGATACCGATGGTAAATCTGTCAACCCCTGCTCCAGATTCGCCTCTGATCCAACTATCCCCCTGCCCTCATTGTCTGCACATAGCATATAAGACAATAGGTTAGTCACTTCATTTGTGTCACTGGCCGTTTTCACCTTGTTTCCGTTCAATCTGTGCTGAGTACTGAGTACTGATCCTTGATTCTTTCTACATAGCAAACATGTACAAACTCATGCAAAGTAAGCGAGGAAGAAATGGAGAAAGATCAGTACTTTGGTCGGCAACAGTGGCGCTGACAAGCTGGCAGGTGATGCTGTTTCCAAAGACCTCATGGACGTTGTCGAGGAGCGAGGCAGTGAAGTCCCTTGGATCCAGTAATTTTCGGCTCATCAGCACAGCCAAGCCTTTGATCTTATTTCCATTTTTCCCTGTCAGCTTGTCCTTGAGCCCTCCCAGCATTCTGTGATACTGTAGTCAGTGACAAAAGAAGCTATGTTGGTGGTGGTGTGTGTATGTTGCCGTTGCAATGGATGGGGAAGAACTTAGCAATGCAGCTGAGTTTTTATAGAAGGGGGAGAGGGAGGTTCGCGATGTCAGTGTGCCCATGAGTATTGGCTACTAATGCGACTATGCAAGTGGATACTATGTCAAGTGGAAGACCGAACCCCAAGGCATCAACTAGCCCATTCACTTGGACAACACACTGTAAGTTGCTTTCTTTTAGTCGAGAATTGTAGAGATATTTCTCCTGTTTTGAAACTTTGAAGAGTATCACATTTTAGCTTGAAAATTTTTTAGGGTGTAAATTCGAAGTCTAAGAGATCGAGCTGGTCATCCTTGTCTCACAGCCTTGTCAAAATATTAATACTTATTCCCTTGTTGATAGAACCAGGCAAGGGTTCGACATTTTTGAGTCGTATGAGCTGGGTTCATATTGGCATTGAAATGAACCATCTGTATGTGAACCTTACCAACTCTTGGCTCTTGAGGTGTGCTGCCAAAAATATTCGAACAGTTTTCATGGGTGTGATACACATTGGCCTCCTGCCTAGTACTAGTATATTTCTACATTATCCTTTTTATTATGAGGTTTCACCCTTAGTGATCCTATAGAAGTTATGGCATTACATTAGTATCAACTGTCATTTACAGTAAGGTGTTAATTATTCCCTATTGGCCTCTTGGCTTTACTTGCTGACAGGTCCACTTCAGCTGCACAGTATACTGGATAAGCACTGAACGAAGACTGTATTAACTTATTAGCAGTTTGAAACGTATTTGATGCCCGTGCCAAGCAACTAAACAAGAGGCCTTCGAATTGTCATTGACGAAGACCTGAGCTACGGGCCTAAGGTGTGTCCATGTTTTACTCCAGTTTGGATCATGTGACCGGCATCTTGGATCTTGCCAATTGCAGTCCCAGAAATTCAGGTAGGAGCAAATGAAATGAGGAGCATATGCAAATTGGGACTATCTTTAGGACACGTTTGCAGGCAGGATTATTTTTGCCGTTTATATGGGAAATCGAGCTGATTTGAATTAGATTCCTGTATTTGGTTTCATGTACTTGAGTTGAATGCGCTTAAATGCGTCCGATTTCCATAGGCTTCAGTAGAGCGTGTTTAATGTTCTTTCTACCTCCAATTTTAGCAACTCTTTGATTCTGTGCGCATGCAGCATATTTCTTCCAAGGAAGTACACCTATCATGAAAGATTCGTTGTAAAAATATGAACTAAAATCGAACCTTCCAATCATTAATAGGACTTCTCCAGATTTGACCACTAACATGGCAACACATAATAAGATTAAGTAGAACGGCCATGTAACGCTTTGAAGCAAATGTAACACGTGCCTTTTTCATTAGCATGAAAAATACTATTCGAACATAGAAGTCGCCGAGAGTTCTCAAGCCCCACGGTACATATTGGCGAAACCCATATTTCAGGACATAGACAAGAAAAGTTTAACAAAAGCTCAATGGACAATTTCACGATAAAGATGGACACCAGCCGAAAATGCCATGATCATAACATGAGTAATTCGTCATACTTATATATGTAAAGAAAGCAATTGCTATGGATTTCATCAAGTTCATCACACCGAGAAAAAAAAAGATGATACATTACATATGTTCACAAATTCACATTATTACATGTACAGAGGGTAAACCACATATATATTGTTCAAGCGGCCAAACAGGTAGTAGTGATCTTCCAATAACCTGCATCATTATGCCATGCCCTTATCTTCCCATTGACCTTACATGATTACATCTAGTGGCCTGTTTGTTGCCGCTCCCACCTTAGGTCCTCAGAGTACTCCATCATGGCTGCCCTTGGATCACCGTCTGTGACAGATAAGTAGTACGCAGCGGCAAATGCCATGCCCTTATCTTCCCATTGACCTTACATCTAGTGGCCTGTTTGTTGCCTCTCCCACCTTAGGTCCTCAGAGTACTCCATCATGGCTGCCCTTGGATCACCGTCTGTGACAGATAAGTAGTACGCAGCGGTTCTGTCATCGGTATGCAAGCTTCGCTTGACTGACTCCAAAATCCTTCTGCTTCGTCGTTCTGCAGCAGCAGTGTTCGTCGAGGATTCTGCTTTTCCACTAGGGCGTCCCTGGGGATAAAAGACTGCAACCTCTCTTCTAGCGTTATAATCCATCTCAATGTAGCATGTGCTACCCTGAAGAATTTCAGGATTGCTGATCGGTATCAGAAGCCTCTCCCTCAAGTAGATCCCATGGTCGCTCATCATGTTGTTGAAACGTTTTATATCGGTCACCTGCTTGCAATTCATAGAGCACCAAAGAGTGAAGAACGTTGCTCACACAAGCAAAGTGCATCTTTGTGGAACAAAGGAGACAAGTGTGCAGAATGGTATAGATAAACAGAATTCACAAATGTACAAAGTAAAGTTATGTATGGTTTTCAAAGTTCAGCTGCATCAACTATTAAAGAGAGTATTCCAGCAAAATTCACACCACACAAATGGCTATATCTATAATCAACTCTACACGGCAACAGATAGAATCTAGCAGCTGAAGGTGCATAGGCATTGTGCAGCAATCCCTAAATAATCTTCTTTGAACAAGAGTGAATCTCATGAATTTGCAACTATCATTAACAGTTTAGCACATAGCAGGAATCGTCCAACTTTTGCACAGTCAAAAATTAGTGGTGAGCTCCACAATACTGAGAATGGCCAAAGGTGTCAAACGCCAGGTCCTAGATTATTTAAACCTTAAAAAATGTATTGAATTGTCGTGCTTGTTCTTATGGCTACACATTATCAGCGTCTCAGTGACTAGTAACCTTTGTTCATTTCATTCCAGATGACCTCCCTTCTCAGCAACCACTCAGAATATTCTAAGCTCCAGTGTCTCCATCTTTGGATAAAAAGACATGTTACTGTTGTTTAAAACTATCGGTTGTCAAAATTAAGTGCTGCTTGGATCTTCCACGGGGTAATTAGGGGCAAATCTATATGAGAATCATACCCTTTTGTGTATAACAAGAAGGATAACTAGGCGCAAATATGCATAGAGCTAGCGATAGAGCCATAATCGAGCATCAGACGGGCCGATGGTTAGTACCTGGATGGAGTACTTGAGCGCGATGCCGGGGACGGTGTCCCCGCGGCGGACGGTGTGCGAGAGCGCGAACCGGGCGAGGGACGCGGCGCGCCAGAAGGCCCTCGTCTCCGGCTCGCCGACGACGCGGCGCACCCCCCAGGGCGACGCGAAGGCGGCCTCCAGCACGGCGCGGTCGGAGGCGACCCCGCGCCACAGCCGGCAGACGCACGCCGCCCTCGCGAGGTCGGGCGGCGGCAGCCTCTGCAGGACCGCGCGCAGGAGGTCCCCCGGGAAGTCGTTGCTCCCCCCCTCCATCGCAGCCGGGGTACGATCGGGGCAAAGGCAAAGACGGATCGGAGCTCACCTCGGGCGAGAGGAGGATGGCTGTGGCTGGGGGCGATCGTGCGCGGCGCCAGCTCCGCCGCTACCGCGGCCGGTGGAGGATCGGAGGAGAGGAGGGAGATCGCGAGGTGAGGCGGCTCGCGTGCGGTGGCGCGGCCGTGGCGGAGTCTGGGATGATATGTGGTGTGGTGTTGACGAGTGGTGTGCGTGCACGGCGCAGCAGCCGCCGCGTTTGCTTAACGATCCAATTTTTATCTGAAAAACAAAAAACATAAATACGACGGTAGTAGTATTTTAACGGAATAGCTAACGCGGGCCTAGAAAACCATGACTAAATTTAGTCCCTCTCACATGTTTCTGTGAGAGGGACTAAAGTTTAGCCCTACTTTAGTCCCTCCAACCAAACACCACCTAATAGCTAATCTTATAATAACAGTAGTCTACTTATAAATAATTTGTTCGAGAAGTTTAATATTTTGAAAAGCAGACGGTTGACAAATCAGCTTTTGAGAATTTGAAAAACTATGTTTTCCTAGCTTTGGACTTTTAGCTTATTTTTAAGATTCTACCATTACAACTTCTCAAAATCTAAATTAAAGGCTGAACTATTTGAGAAGTTTCTAATTCTGGAAGAAATTGAAACTAGAAATTTCTACAAAAAGATCCCGAATCTTATAACTATGATTACCACAAGTAGATCGTAAATCTTATACCTATGTATTGTACCGATACTAAGGGTCTGTTTAGTCGGTGAAATGAAAATTTTTGGATGTCACATCAGACGTTTGACCAGATATCGGAAGGGGTTTTCGGACACGAATGAAAAAACTAATTTCATACTCCCTCCGTTTCACAATGTAAGTTATTCTAGCATTTCTCACATTCATATTAATGCTAATGAATCTAGACATATCCCACATTCATATTAATGCTAATGAATCTAGACATATATATCTATCTAGATTCATTAACATCAATACGAATGTGGGAAATGCTAGAATGACTTACATTGTGAAACGGAGGAAGTAACTCGCATGGAAACCGCGAGACGAATCTTTTGAACCTAATTAAGCCGTCATTAACATATGTGGATTACTGTAACACTTATGGCTAATCATGGATTAATTAGCCTCAAAAAATTTGTCTCGCGATTTACATGCAAAGTGTGCAATTATTTTTTGGGGCAATTGTGTTTCAGTCCTTGATTTACAATTCAATTGTGATTTTACCCTTACTTTTTAGGGTTTGTGATTTTGCCCCTGCTTTTATGAAATGAAGCACCCGTCTGCCTCTGGTTTTGACATAAGTTTGGTGGGCCTGAAATTTCCGAATTAAACGAATAAAGAAAATGTTATTATTATTTGTGAATGACCATTCTACCCTTGGTTCAATGAGCAAAATCCCGAATTCCTTTACTGTCCGGGTTGCAAGCGCTGGGTTGCAAGTGGTGGCGGCGGCGACGCGCGGCCAGCGCGCGGCAGGGAGGAGAAGCGGTGCGGGCCAGCGCGCGGCGGAGTCGGGCGCGGGCAGGGAGGTGCGGCGGCGGCAGCGTCGCGGCTGGCGCGCGCGCAGGGAGGTGCGGCGCTCGCGCGGCTGCACGCGCAGGGACGGCCTTTGGAGGCGCCGCGACGAGGATGACGGCGAGGAAGAGGACATTGCCGTCGACGAGAGGGACTCGCTCGGGCTGCCGTTGCCGGTGGTGAGCAACTGCTCCTCGTCGGAGTGTGAGTACATGGCCGAGTCAGAGGCTGAGCTGGCGAAGACGGAGGAGAAGTGCGCGTCGGCGTCGTCAGCGTCGGAGTACGAAAAGACGTCGCAGTCGAGCACGGGGAGCGTCGCCTTCCATGGCGCTGCCGACGCCGGAGGAGACGGGCATAAGGTGAGTGTTAGTGCTGCTTCTATTATTCTGCGTTTAGTTAGTTGGGATTTGGGATGGCATAAATACAATGGTGATCGATCACGATGCCCATGCATGCTGTGGGCCAAAATCATCCATGCAACTGTTCGTTTATCAAGACTAAATCTCTATCACGAGCAAAAGTGCAAATATTTGTCACTTTTTATCTCCTTTTTTCTAATCATTAGGCATTAGTGTTCGTTTTGCTCTAGAAATTATCATTGAATGCCAAAACATTTCAGGGGTATATTTGTCCATTCACCATAAATTTAACACCGGTACCATTAGTTAACAAAGTAGGGGCAGACGGCTACTTCATTTAAAAAAGTAGGGGCAAAATCACAAACCCTAAAAAGTAGGGATAAAATCACAATTGAATCGTAAAGCAAGGATAGAAACACAATTGCCCCTTATTTTTTTTATCTATTTTTAATGCTCCATACATATGTTTAAAAATTCGTGTGATGTTTTTTAAAAAGTTTTTAGGAACTAAACAGGGCCTAATCTGGTTCATGTCTGGTACCATAGTAATAGAACTGGTACCTACCATACCGTGCTGAAGTTACGTTAATGTAATTCCGTTCAACGGTACGGCGTTATGTGGTATGAAAATGCTCCTCTTCGAACGTTCAATCAAATGAAAAACGTCGGATGCCTACGACCAGCTCAGTTCTTACATGCTAATTTCTCCTTTCTTTATGTTGATGCCAGGGAAATGCTGCAAATCAGCAGTCTGGTGGATTGGACGAACCCTTATCGTACTGTAATATACATGCACATGCCTAGTTGTTTCTTTTCATTCTTTCCTCCTCTCTTTAAATATTTTTTCTCCTAAATTACTTATCCGATCTATGGACCGATCACACCGTTGTATTCGTTGCAATTAAATATTTACAATAAGATATTACATGATTATATTATGTCAAAAGAAAAACATGTGTTTCAAACCATTAAAACAAAATGTTTCATACGTGTTAGTGATATGTTTCAATATGTGTCTTGTTTCACAAAATTCCTGAAACTACCTGCTACTACTCTCTCTCCACCTCATGCATGCATACATGCATATGTTTTAGCAAGCTTCAAAATGATTTTTCCCTCAAATTACCTATTCAATTTATGATCCGATCACTACATTGTATTTGTTGTAATTAAATCTTTACAACAAGATATCGCTTGATTATATTTTGATAAAAGAAAAACATGTGTTTCAATTCGTTAATACTTGTTGTTTCATATGTGACAGCGGCATGTTTCAACGTGTATCTTCACCATATTTCATAAAATATCTAAATGTTCCAATTGCTGATTTTCTTTTTCACCATATATATAGCATCATGTTTTACTTGTTGGTTAACTGCAATATTTAACCGTTCGATTTTTTTTTCAATTTAAAAATGTTTCACCTAATATAGTCATGATGTTTCATTCTGTAATGATCAAATGTTACCGTGAATTGAAACATTCTTTCGCTATTCGCTGAAACATTATTTTCATATAAGATGAAACAGCATCCGATAAAACATTTTCGATCTACTTAATGAAACAATTCCGATATACTTGGCGCAACAGCGTGCAACAGTAAAATAATTCAATAATAAGCTAATTTTTTTTATCGGATTATATTCATGTGTGGACTTGTTTTAAAATTTTAATTGCAATGAATTTAATGGTGTAATCGGATCATGTTTTGGATAAATATTTTAAGAGAAAAAATAGTCTAAAATTTGTTTAATCCATGCATGATGGATGGCTGGCGCACCTGTGCATGGATCGAACTGTCGCGCGAGACGTCCGATTTTTCGTTTCGCGCCGTACGTCCGACGCGTAGCATTCTCCGAGTACTCGCTAAAAAAATGATCCAATTTGGGATTCACACTCGTGGGTTTGATGAGCCGGAAGGGAGCACGTCAAAGTGGGGCCAGTTAGGACGGCCCATTAGGCCCGGAGGAGCGCCTATCTGAAGTCCAACACCCGTCCAGGCACCGGCTCTCCGCCGCTCGAAGCTTCTCTCTTCTCACCGGAATCTCGAGAGCACAGCGCCGCCCCGACGACGAGATCCCTCACCGGCGCCGCCGCCGCCGCGGCCAGGAGGCCGAGGGGCCATGACGACCATCCGCCGGTTCTGCTGCGACGACCTCCTCCGCTTCTCCTCCGTCAACCTCGACCACCTCACCGAGACCGTGCGTCCGCCCTAAACCCTCGCCGTCTCCTTTTTCTTCTCTTGATTTCGAGCTTACCCGTCGGTATGCTCGTCGCAGTTCAACATGTCCTTCTACATGACGTACATGGCTCGCTGGCCCGACTACTTCCACGCCGCCGTCAGCCCCGGGGACCGCGTCATGGGATACAGTACGTGTTCTTGCCCTTGGGGGCGGCTGGGTCTGTGCTAGCTGTTGCTAGTGATTCTGCGTCTTTGTTTGTCAGATTCGCTGAAATTGTAGAGTAAACCCTGCATTTCCTCTGGAAAACATGAGAATTTAGGGATCTTTTGGGCGTTACAGTGCCCGATTGGAATGTGGTTCGCAGGAAATTTATGATTTGTGGAGGTTCCAGTGGAGTCTAATGTAATCTTGGTAGTACTATTTATTTGCCGATTAGGACTTATTATTTGCCTCTTTGGGAAGGGTGGAACACTATGACCTGAATTGGGAGCAGGCGAGCATGTTGTTCATAGTAGTGTTAAGAGTAACCCTTTTAGTGCTGAATGCAGTATTCTATAGTGGAGTATTGAGATGATTCACCTGTCTGAATAGATGAGCACTGTGCAATATTCTAGTGGATATGTATAATTTTTAAAATTTATATATTTTCCAAGTAATACAAAGTTCACCTGCAAAAGGCTATGGGGTCAGTTGACCCCAAATCTGCATTTCCACCATTGTGTAATGTTATGTCTGCAATATTTCTTCCTCCTCCACATTCTCCTAGTTTAGTTTATGTCTTTGTGGCCATTCATTTATTTGGATGTCTGTTGCAGTCATGGGTAAGGTTGAAGGACAAGGTGAATCTTGGCATGGACATGTTACAGCAGTGTCTGTTGCCACAGAATTTCGGAGGCAGAAGCTAGCCAAAAAACTTATGAACCTTTTGGAGGAAATCAGTGACAAGATGTAAGTATCTCAACTATGACTATCCCTATGATTGAACCTTCACGCCGATTTGGTGATTGTAAACTATACTGACTATTATTGAATTTTGTGCTTATTGTGCATAAACAACTGTTCATTTGATATATCATGTTCTTCAATCATTCATTTTCTGAATTCCTTAGCAATACAGTATTTAATCTCATTGTACTTTTGTATCTGCATGATATCAATATTGGTTGAAACTTATATATTGTCATTCTAGCTTTGCTAAGATCAAGGAACTTATCCCTGTTTAATGAGCTTAGTTCAAGTTTAAGGTCCTCTTGTATCCTGTGGTCTGTGGGGCTGATGACTGACCATGTGAGCTGTAGTAGTTCTGCTGTTAATTGATATAGGCCATAATTGTCCTTGCACAAGTATTAAGGAGGTGATAAAATTCCCCGCAAAAAAAAAAAGGAGGTGATAAAATTGAGAATGCTTACTAGGAATTTAGTTCTGTTATGTACCATCTCATGATTGTTTTTGGAGGATGAGGGAATACTTAGTAGTTTGTATGGGTTTTAACGAAAGCTGCATACTGAGGAAAGATAATAAGCAGGGGCATGGTTGGGAAGCTCATTCCATCGACATGCAGGCATTATAAAATCAGAAAATATCTCAAATATATACCTTAAATTTTCAATTGAGGACTGATTATCATATCAGATTATCAGCTATGATCATAAGCATTGCAAGCTAGAAATTGTAGTATGGTAAGACGGTAATGTATTACTGTTCTGGCCTACTAGTTCTGTGAACAATTTCCATTCAGTAGGATTCTGTAGAGTTTAACTGGGTATTTCCTTCCACTAAGCACATACCTTAGATAAAGAATTGGATTCTTGAATTAAAAATATCAGCCTGTTCCATTGCTCTATTGTGGTATACTTGTTTTTGCTAATGTCCCATTTATTTCGACTTTATGATTCCATAACTGTTGTTGTCATGTTATTTATTATAGATTCTAATATTACGCTAAAAATGGTTATCCTTTCAGGGATAAGGCCTACTTTGTGGATCTCTTCGTAAGAGCATCTAACATGCCAGCAATAAGGATGTATGAAAAGGTAAGCTTCATACAAATTTCATGATCATCTAGCACTCTAACTCACTGATTTATATGATTACACATTTATATATGAATACTGAATAACAAACGCTTGATCTTTCAAACTAGTTTCTTCTACTGCCCCTAAACAGAATTGTTTTAGTGAAAAAAAAAATCATGTATGAAGGTTTCAGCATAGAGTTTATTCTTGAAAATTTGAATCCAAAATGACATTATTTCTAGTGAGCTTATCAAATTATGTTCCTGGTTTCCATAGCTTGGCTATGTGGTTTATCGAAGGGTGCTCCGCTATTACTCAGGGGAAGAAGATGGCCTTGGTAAGCACTTCCACAGTGCCAAATCATCACTTTGTGTCATATTCAAATTCATTGTTCTAATGGCGTTGCTCACTTCTGTCCTTGTTTTTGCTTAGATATGAGGAAAGCTTTGTCACAAGACGTTGAAAAGAAGTCCATCATACCACTGAAGAGACCAATAACACCGGATGAACTTGAATATGATTGAAGTTAACTTCTAGTTACTTCCAGTGTTTTGTTTGCTGTTAACTTCTATGGTGATTTGCCAAGTGTCTTTTGTCTCCAGTAGTATCATCTAGTGATCGTGCTGTTTTCTTTTCTGCATCCTGATAAGATTCAACATAACTCTGAAGGTGATTCTATCGTTTTGGAATGGAATGCAGCACTTAGTAAGTAGTCTATCTTGGAATGAGGTGCTATCTTGTAACCATACCGTTATTTTCTTGTATCGAGGAGTTCCACGTCTGTATCATTAGCCTCCACACGATTAGAAACCAGATGAGACCTTAGTATAGATAAAATGTGAATGGGCCAAGTCTGATATTCTGCAGATGTGGAGTTTTGACCTTGGTAGCGGGCGTAACGCGAGATCACAACTTCACATACGTTAGCACTGCAGAGAGGAGTAAGAAAATTCATCAAACATTTAATATAAAATTGCCAAATTTCTTAAGATTTCTTCTCAAAGTTACATCAACCCTTGGAATACTGATAAACATACGTGAAGAACTTGCACTCGTGTTTGTTTGAGCTATGAACGTCGATAGGAAAAATCATCGATGTATGTAAGTCGTCCTCTAATTGGCCTTAAATATGACTGTAGCCGGTAGCTCCCATATCCGGCTCTCATTTTATCGTGCTCAAAATTCCACTAATATATTGACAATAGCTAGAAAAAGAATATCCATTGGACAGCAGCGGGGACCGTATTTAATCTTGTTAGGGCAAAAAAAGATTTTGGAATTCCTACACCCTCCAGGCCTTTATACAGTCCAATCAACCAGTGTCTTTCTTATTAGGGAATAACAAAATTGGTATTGCCCTAAACAACGAATTTGATAGGATACGTGCTTCCTGAAGTCCCCCTATTTGTATATGAGAGCATCACGCCCTGGTCCTACGCCGATGTAATGGACTGGGATACCAACCAGCTCTTCTATCCTCTCCACGTACAAACGAGCAGTCTCTGGGAGATCGCTGTAGTTTCGTACAGAGGAAATGTCGTCCTCCCACCCAGGTAGAACCTCATATTTGACCTATACCAACAGAGAGAACATAAGAATTTTCATCAATTACCAAGAGTCACATTGAGTGATTTAGTGCTCTCATATGCTGCCTGTAAAATTATGGCATGGAATATGAGTAAATGGAACAGGATCAACTGCTCTTCCTCACCTTAATTTTCTCCAGAAGATCAAGGTCTGCAGGGAATGATTCAATTTCTTTACCATCTTCAGTACAATATGCAATTCCCAGCTTTACTTCCTTGAGGCCAGTTAACACGTCGAGTTTGGTCAGATTTAAAGATGAGAAACCGTTTATTTGGCAGCAGTACTTGAGTGCAACTATATCAAGCCAGCCACAGCGCCTCGGTCGACCTGTCGTTGTCCCAAACTCCATTCCAGAAGCGCGGAGCAAATCACCAGTCTTACCCAACAGCTCTGTTGGGAATGGGCCAGAACCTACCCTGGTTGTGTAAGCTTTTACCTGCACATGGAAATATTAAGTTTTGTAGGGAGAGGAAAAGTATGGATTGTTAAGAAGTTTAAAGATAGCTGTACCGACCACTCCAATGAGATCACCGATACTTCTAGGAGCAATACCAAGGCCAGTGCAAATACCACCAGCTGAGGGACTCGAGGAAGTAACAAATGGGTAAGTACCAAAGTCAATGTCTAACATGGTGGCTTGACCACCTTCAACCAATATTTTCTTATTCTGCAAGATTGATTGATTCATGAAGTGCACGGTATCAGTAATATAAGGTCCTAGACGCTCGGCAAACTTTTCGTACTTCTCAACCTCCTCTTTAAGGGTCTTGGTACTGTATTCAAATCCTTCAAAGCGCAGAGCTGCATCTCTCAGCAAGGTATTGAGTTTAGCACCAAATGTATCCATATGCCGCAGATCACTGACTCTAAGTCCATTCCTTATAACTTTGTTTGAATAGCATGGCCCAATTCCCCTCTTTGTTGTTCCTATAAGGGAATTTCCAAGCTCTACCTCTCTGAGCCCGTCAACAGTTTGATGAAAGTCAAACAAAAGATGGGCACGATCTGATACTAAAATTCTTCCTTCACAGGAAATTCCATTTGATTCTAACCCATCAATTTCTTTGAAGAACCCAGGAAGATGAACTACTGCTCCATTACCAACTACACACATTGTCTTCTCATTGAGGATACCTGATGGAACAAGATGTAATGAAAACTTCTTTCCCTCTGAATTATATATAGTATGCCCAGCATTAGCTCCACCCTAATAACATAAAACATTCTACAAGTTAAAACAATATATATATATATATATATATATATATATGATCAAATCCTATTGGACAAAACTAAGTCTAGTCTTATTGCCACCTTAAGAAAACTGAACTTCATAAAGGTGTGCAAAAACCTATAAAAATTAGTCAATACAACAAGTGCAGAGAGAACAGTAGGAGAAATGAGCACTATGTAATCAAGGTTTTCCATGAAGCAGGATAATCATTTTTTTTAACCCATAAGAACTGCTTGTGTAAAGTGAAAAGGCAATATCCTTGCCATAAAGGAAATGCACCATTAGTTATCAATACTGCATTACTGCCTCGACTAGATAACCGGAAGGGTTATCGGTATTTTAAGATGTTTTATAATTCTATTTTGTTAGTACGAAGGATTCGACATTAAAAAAATGAACATATAGAAGGAATATCCATTGTGGTTATGGGTTTAGAAAAATTGGGAATAGACAAAATGCTTTCTGCAGATATATTAAACTGATGCTTAGAATAGTTCAGCTATCCTTATTCGTTAATGATGATACAGCCATAAAAATTATCATCATAAAAATTAAAGATATATTCAAGAATGAGAAAACAGCAAGGCTCTCGAGTCTCATCAAGAATACGTTGAGATCGGAAGGGCTTCACACAATTCAAGAAAACTGGGGACCAATGGTACAAGTACAACCCATGCTGATATCAGTACTTATCATCAAAACCAAGCAAGAACCAAAATGGAAGGGAGCCTTGGACTACTAAGCTTCCTTCGTAACACGGAATTTCTCCTGTTCTGCTAGAGTTGAATTTCCCATGTATAAAACGACTTTCTGTGATAGTGTTGCGATCAAAGGAGTACAAAGTAGCAGTAGCTTACAGTAGTACGGTAAAGGCAGTCTGCGTGGATGGCGCCGGAAGATAAACACCCTTCAAGTAACGATCATAAAGCAAACTAACGCAAATTACTACTCCCCTCTGTCAGAAAAAAACCAACCTAGTACGGAACGTGAGACATCCTACTATGTTGGTTTTTTTGGACAGAGGGAGTACATCTCAGCTAAAGGATCGCCTCTGGAAACTCACCAGCGCCAACGTGAGAACTCGTACTATCCTACCACAAGGAACCAATTAATCGAACACCTTCCGGACAAACTGACAAAGCAAAGAGGAGCAGAGAGCGGGTGTGTTTGGTTGCAAGCCACACTTTGCCACAGTTTGCCACGCCTAAGGTTAGGCAGATTTGACAGGTGTTTGGTTGTAGCAACAGTTGTGGCAAGATTCCCCTCTAACAAATTGGGTCCCACGTGTCAATGGCTCAAAAAAGTGTGGCAAGATTCAGATTCCCTTAGACTTAGTAAGTTGTGGCTAACAATTTGATCACCTCACCTTAGACAAGGTGTGACAACTTTTATTAGCAAGTAATGGTAAAGTGTGGCTGGGAACCAAACAGCCCCACCCAGCAAAAGAAGCGCGCGCGACGGCGCGAGACGGACCGACCTGGCAGCGTGCGACGATGTCGAAGCGCTGCGCGAGGATGTCGACGAGCTTTCCCTTCCCCTCGTCGCCCCACTGCGTGCCCAGCACCCCGGCCACCTGGCTCAGCGACTCCAGCCGCCCCTGCGCGGCCGCCGACTCCGGGGCCGTGGCCACGGATGCCGCCACCCTCAGCGCCCGGCGCGAGCGCGGCGCCACCGCGCATGGCGCCGGTGGCCTCGCGGCGGCGGCGGGGAGGAAGGAGAGGGAGGCGGCGGCGGCGGCGGCGGGGTCCAGGCACGGAGGGGAGAATGGCATGGCGGCGACGGTGGAGGGAAATCGAGGAGAGAATGGCGGCTGGTGGTGGGCCCTCCCCGCCTGCTGCTGGGTTTGGAGGCGACGGTCGTGGATGTGCCCGTTCGTTATCTTCTCTGTTCGATTCTCCCGTCGCGAGATCGGACGGCTCGGATGTTTCAGAAATGATTTTCTTCAATTGTGTGTTCCAAATCTTCAAAAATTCGTTTTGGTCGAGTTTTGGGGGAAAGTAAGTTGTTGAATTTCAGGAGATTTGGTGAAATTCGTCATATCGCCCGGGCTCGCATTTCAAACAATGACTTTCAGAACGCGTGGTTTGCTTATTTGCGTTGTACTTTGGGAGCAACAGTTTGAACACAGATTTAAATTTCTCGTTTAAATGTGAATCGCGCTGCTTGTAAATTTTCTTAATTTTGATTTGCTTTCATTCTAGCCGTTAAATTTCTGGAGCTAAGATCGCCATCTACTCATCATGTTGCATTTTGCAGCATCACCAACCGGCCAACAGATATCAGGCCCTAAACTCCTGATTAAGAATTATGTAGCTAGATGAGCACTTGAGCAGCAACCGCGTCAAAATTTGGAAGAGTAATAGCTACTAATCATCAGGGAACACACTTTGGACACTAGGTAAATAGCTCAAAATTTTCTACTGAGGTATCTGGGCATATTCTTAAAGCCCATGTAAAACACCTAAACATCAAAATGGAGCTGCTTATCATGCATAAGAATACGTAGGTGTGCAGATCATGGCAGCAACTCCACAGAAGCAGCGACCGATGAACAATTTGTCAAAACAGATACAGCATGGAGCAAATGAAGTTCGAGCCTCAGCGACCTTTGGCCGAAGCACTGGAATCAGCATTCTTTTTCCTTTTCTTCAGCAAGTTCACCTTGTCCTTTTTCCTTTCCTGGTTAATCTGTAGTTGCAAAGGGTAACAGATTAGTTTAGCTCAAAGCCACTTAAATTTACGCTGAAACAGGGAAATGCTTGTGGCATCTACAAGGCATATGTTATAAAATTTGGCAATGTGGCTAAAATTTCAATGGATGACATGGCTGCAACAATGAACGGATGTGAAACAGCAAGCAAGCAGAAAGTGACAAATACATGCAAGGCATAAGAGCGCAGACCTCAATTGCTTGAAGAAGGCCTCTCTGCTTGCGAGACATAAGGGTCTTGGAAATGTCAGCAGCATCCTTCTCGGCTTGTTTATGAGAGTCCTCCATATGATCGTCAGCTTCTTTAGTATCACTTTTGTCCACAACATCTGGTTGGTTATCTGCCGTCCTATTTGAGAAGGTCTTTCCTTCGTATTCCATCCTCAGCTCATCGTGGTACTGCTTCTCTAGCATCTCCAACTTTAGAAGAGAAAAAGGCAAAATGAGACAACAGAGAATGCTTTCTGTACAAGAAGCAAATAAGATGACAGCAGAAAGGACTAATGTTTTGTACTACATGGTGTTGAATTTACCTTCCTCTTCTTGTCAGCAATTTCATTAGACTCTGATCGATCAATAATTGCCTCTACCAGTGAATTTTCCATATCTTCGTCCCCTAAACTTGGCAGAGGCAACACCTGGCTTTGAGCAGCAGCTTGCAGCCTCTTAATGGTCTCTGCATACTCAGGAATGTAACCCTCTGCATCATTGTCCACAAAGGGAGATAAATGTGGTGGAGGCACCCTGAGACCAAAAAAAAAAGGAATATTGATGGCAAAAATTAGGACAAACATAAGTATAAAAAATTAGATCAACTTTTATGCATCTTTATAGTTCATTTTTGCAAACTGTGCAAGTACAGACAGTAAAAAAAGGCTGTCAATTTAACTAAATGTTAAATTATACATGAACTATATTTCAGTAAAGTTGTTTCCACCTAAGAACCATCAATATGTGCAACCAAAATGTGAAAACAGCATGCGACAAATTAAGGTATTGCAGTACAGTGATTTTTAATTAAGTTGGAAGTGGGACAAACATTGGGCTCTCAACTACAGGAGTGCAAATATTATATAATCAGCACTTAACAACTATTAAAGGGATATCTCCATATGATGTTAACAGCAAGCAATTGTCATTAGTGAAGGCTGCCCCCAACTAAGGTTGGAAATAAACACAAATATCCACCCACAAATTTTAGCAAACATATGTAGAAGCAACACACAAGGCCACACAAATAATCAATAAAAATTACATATATAATACATGTGCCATGAGGTATACCTCCCGACAATATAACCTTCTGTCGGCAATATGATGCGAGCATTCACGCAATCATATATCCACTGTGGTTGAACATACTCCCTAGAGAGGAAAACGTGGCTTTGGGTCGGTCTATCAACAATCTGCAAAATAATGAGTGATATCAGTAATCTGCAAAATACCGTAACTACAAGATAAAACTACATTAGAGATAAATTGGAAACAAATGGCTGAGCTAATTGTTATATATGATTATTTGATATTTAAACAGTATTTTATATTTAACAAAAGGGTAACAATAATTTTATCCATCAATTTGGGCAACCTCTGGTGTAATCTTACAGAAAGATAAATATACCTGATGAGTGATGTCTTCATCTGTCTCATCAAAAGGAGCTCCTTCTCCTTCCCATGAAACGGTACCACCAAATGCTGGAATGATAAATAAGAGAGATTCCCTAGGCACCTGAAAGTGGAAAACAAGACAGATAATAAGATAAGTATATTGAAGATGATCTAATTGAACAAACATACCCCCAGGGATATCCCCAGGGTACATAAGTTTCCACTGGCCTACCTCACGACTTAGGTAGAACTTCAGGTTTTTGAATAAACTCCTGCATTCTTTGGCATCAGCGTCGTCTGCATCAGCAGCAGTAGATTCTTGTACAAGATGCATCAGCGCTCCAGGTTCATTAGTTGGGAGCTGGTGTTGAAGTTGTGCCAATCTGAGTTCAGACTCATCTGTTTTTGAGCTCTCTTTATTGTCTTCACCCTCTTTGTCTTCAATTAGTCCAGCAGGTTCTGAATTTCCAGGTACTCTTCCAGAAGACATGTACCGGCACAACGCATAGAGCTCTAATAGGAGAAAAACAGTGTTGTCAACCAAAAAGATCCCGAAAAAGAAGAAATTAAAAAATAAAGGGAAATTATTAGCTATTTGAGAAGGATAAAACGTAGGTTCACCAACAAAACTACAATAAGCACCAACACTTACCAGAAGCTAAAGCTTCCAAACGAGGATCCAGAACAGGAGGATAATTTACATTTATCGAATGGTAAAGCTTGAAGTTTATAAATCCCAGAAGTGTCTGCAGGTAGTATAGAACAGTCAAAAAATTGAAAGAACCATTGTACCAAACACTGTTGAGATCGGCATTTTTTTTATATATACTAAGTGATCAATCTTGAAAAGTTATTGCTAGGTATCGTAACATTATATCTGAACATTTTCAGCATGATCATAGGTCTGTCAGGTGTACATGGTTATAGCCAGACTGCAACATAATTTATTTACAATAGTCATATCTTCCATGCAACAGAATATTAAATATTAAACAGAGATTCCAAAACAAAACAAGCATATATGGCTTCAGACCTACAATTGAAACAATAGCAGCAATCATAGAAGATTGTAGCCTGCAAATTCTTGCAAGACAGAACACACAAGAGCCAAGATTGTTGCACTCAAAGAAATGTGCTTGCATTTACCCCCATGATATTTCCTTTTATTTTACCGCGTGCAATCGCATTTTATTGTGGATCAAATTTTCGTAACAGTTCCAGTACTATTTGGATAGAAGTGGTGCTATATTGCTGAATAAAGCAGGAAATACATAGTAATTAGGAAATTAGGACAGATCATCGTCATTGTCACCTCATAGAATTCCAAAAAGGTAAGCATCACATTGAAGTCAACGTCATCAGTTAAAACTTGCTGAAGAGCATGTGGAGTTAGCCAGGTGATCTTTTGACCTTGAACTTCAGCCTGCAAAAAGTAGTTATATTATATAAATATATATACTATAGCATGCACAGTTACAGTGATTTTAAAGGCAAGGACTGCAAGTAGACATAACTACACAAGCTTACTTGATAATATATGCCCTTGACGGATATAAATGTCTTTCGCAGGGAATGAGTTCGAGATATATATGCTTGCCATTCATGGCTCAACCTACAAAGTACAAACATGTCCCCCAAATTAATAAAAGGTATTAGCAACGCCAAACAAAGTCAGGTACAGCAATTCATTATAGCAGCAATAAAGATGGGGCAAATGTCATAGACTTGTAGCATGATGAACAAATGAACTAGGAAACTACAAGAGCCCCTTGGCTGGGAGTGTTGTGTGTGAATTTGAGGGAGGGGATTCATTTACAACAGAGCATACCTGCGGCAATTATGAATCCGCTGAACTTGCACACGTTCACCTTCAACAGCAGGCAACGCAGCAAAAAGATGCACCATTGTTAGGCAATCATCCAAGTCACGAAGAGCATCAACAAAAGTTGGATATCTGTAAAGCAAAAATATGGGGATGATTTATAGAAACAAATACGGTATGGATGTCATCAGCAAATCACTTTAAACCTGGTACCTTTCAAGAATAAGCCTGTCAAGTTTGTAAGTTGGTGGTCGGTTCAATAATCTGTCTGCAAGATCTTTATTTTTCTTAGCAAACGCCTTTTTGACCTTCTTCCTGTGGACCTTGATTTCTCTGAAGTCAAACAACAATGAAATGTCATTAAGAGTGGAGACATCACAAACCAAGAATAGCATGGTCTTATAACTCACACTTTTTAATGCAAAGACAACATGCACCACACTGTATCAACTAAAGTTCTAATGAAACTCTAGATTATATATAAAGCATGAATTATGATTCCCTTGTCAACGATCAAGTAATTGTGAGCAACTAGTCTATCTGCCATTCTGCCAACCATCAAAATATCATTGATGAAGCACCGAGGAGAATAATTCACATGGCCTAGCTAATGGCTCTCTGAAAACCTACATTATAATTATTTCCTCAATTGTATTCAGTAATAAAATACAAGTTTCTATCTTGCTTGCCATTTTCTCCGCTGCATAAACTGTGACAGAAACAAATTGCACAATTGCAGCAAACAAATCAAATAACAAGAACACAACACAAACCGATCACTAGCACAATTAAGATATTTTCATATTGCCTATCTCAGTGGCCTAATAACAAATAAGAAAATTGAAAGCATTGTTATCTCATTAAAAATTAAATATGTCTGCAGCTAAATTTTGTGATAGTGATACATTATATGCCCTTAATTGCACAGAGAAATGTGCAATCAACCAAAAAGGCATGCAATTCAAATGCTCAGTGAGTGAATACTGAATACTTCTGTAGCCGCCAAAAAAAAACACAGATGGTAGACCTTTTGCAAGAAAACTTAAGTACCTAAACTTCTCAATCAAGGGATCATGGGCCAGGAAGGCAATATCCTTCATGTGGTAGTAGGTCTTGTGGTTCCCTTCCACCTTCTTCTTTGGATCCCGGGGAAAGACGCCCTTGAGAATGCATAGCTTCCTGCAACGGATTGCAAAATTTTAAGCAGTCAGAAAAAAAAAATCCTACATCGCTTGCAGTATAAAAGCTATACGTAACGCAGAGAATAGTGAAGGTAATCCTAATGGCCAATAGGCGTATCGAACAAATTAATTAGCTTAATGGAGTGTACAGCTTAAAGCTTCAGCGTAAAATGTGTAAAATTTCCCAGACAGCTTTGTTAGCTCCAACAAAACCAATAAAAATAGCCACAACTACACTCGTTAATAGCTCCAAAATGACCCAACATATCATTAGTCAGTACTCAGTAGTAGCAGCTGGGAGATTAGAGGATGACCTGAAGGTTGCGAGGCTAATCTGCAGGTACTTCACCGCCTTGGTCCTGGTGATGTACTTCGCCGCGTTCCCCTCCTTCTTCTTGCCCTAGAGCATCCACGAAAGCAGCGGTGAGAGGCTCCGCGTACAACAAGGAGAGGGGTATTCGGGGGGAGGAGGCGGGAGGAAGACGGGGTGAATTACCGCAGGCCGGTAGTGCTTCGGCATGGCGGCGGCGGCGGCGGCGGCGTGGCTCCTCGGGGAAGGGGAGCGGGGGAAAGGAGAGGCCGAAGAGGGGAGGTGGGTTTTTAGGGTTTTGGTTTATATTGCGGCGGATGGCTTTGGGGCCTTGGGTTGGGCTGAAAGGCTGGAACCCGGCGCGGCGCTCACTGAGAAGAGGTGAAGACTGGAGACTTGGGAGGTGGGAGCCGGCCTGTCAGCGTCTGCTTAACGCTTAGTACATATTCTTCTCGTAAAAGGGGATTGTTCAGTCGATTTTAGAGAGAGATGTACTCCCTCCGTCTCTATAAAAAAACAGACACGCTAAAAAAGTTACGACAGTTTTTCCCTTAAAAATATATCGGTTTGTGGTGCATTGAATTGACGTTAAGATTAGTGCTAAAATAATAGTATGCTAAGGCCGGGAGTTCAGCATAGCAAACATCTTTTCTTGAAAAAAAAAGAGACACTTCTCATATATTTATACAAATTTACATAGTAGTTACATCCCACTTACACACCACTTACATATATAATTTTAGAATTTACATATGTAATTTTAGGACTTACATATGTAATTTTGAGACTTACATTGTAAATACACTAAAATTTCATATGCAATTTTAGGGACTTATAATGTAAACACATACCGACTATTTTTTCATGAAAAATATGGCGCCATAAATATAGCTACTCTCAAAAAAAAAAACCTATAACTATATGTAACATCCTACCTCCGTCCCAAAATGTAAGCATATAGAATCTGGACACATATGTGTCCAGATTGCTATATTTTGGGGCGGATGGAGTATTCTAGTATGAATATATGCATACCTTTGTCTATATTCATTGTACTGGAATATGGCAGATCTAATTCTAAGTTTATTTTTGTGGGACAAAGATAGTAAGAGTTTGTATCACTATTTTGCAGGTAACGTGGAGTAGATTTTCGGTCATTCAGAAGTACATTTTCTCTAAGCTTGTAGATTTCGGTCATCTAACTCTTTTATACCATGAAGGTGACGTGATATACCAACAAGATCAGTGTACTTTAATACCATATCGCCGTTTTCTTGAATTTGCCCTTGAAGTAATCCTTACATGAGCTTTTTAAAACCATATATGCATATTTTTGTCTATCTCGAACCGCTAGTAACAACTAGAAACCAAATTACGATAATATAGTCACTGCTTTAACCAGTTGCTACTTGTTTGTTGCAACGAATGAACCAGTCACATTATGCGGGCAACTCTGTAACGAGCAACTAACAACCCCATAAGAAACAAACACAAACACCTCCTTGTTCGAGTAATAGACTGCTTTGTTATCTCCGAAATTACGTGAGAAAAAGAACCTCGGATTTATTCTATGTTATAGTTTTTTTACTCGGAGTTATCAAGCTCCGACCAGTAATATATTATATACGATCTAGTATCAATAATTAACAATAAAAAACCATAAACTGGGCATATTCGGCTGCAAGGTACAGCGTTGCCTTGCAGCCAAACCGCGGCATATTCTTTGTTTGTTGTATGGTGTAACAGATGGCTAGTTATATAGTAGCACTGTACTTGGCAGCCGAACAAGTGTTGGTCGACCAACTTCTGTTGGTCAAAACCAACAAGTGTTTATAGACCGAGGAGTCACCACAGCAAAGAATGGCTTACGTCAAAATACGTACTCTATCCGGATGTTTTTAATACATGACGTCATTGACTTTTAGTTTTATATTTGATCATCTGTCGTATTCAATATATTTCAAATAGGATAAAATACAAAGTCATGAATATAATACACAATACATCTAATAACAAAATAATCACAAAAAAAAAACGATAACACAGTTTTTTTAGAAACATGGTATGAACGCAGCACTCACGACATTCACCCACTCACTCGTATGAGCACCTTCTAAACGTTGGACGACATATATTGAGATTAACCAAGTCACCACAAACGTTTTTACCATCGATGATAAAAAAAAGCAATATATATTTCAATAATACGAATCTCATATGTACACCAAAAAAAATGGTGTCATAAAAAAACTGAAGAAGGTACATCTTTTTACATGCTATCTACTCAAGAAGGTACATCTTTTTGACATGCTATTTACTCCCTCTGTTTTCAGGTCATAAGTCAAACTGTTTCAAATTTAACTAAATTTATAGACAAAATAGTAATATTTACTATAGGTGTGTTTAGTTCACGCTAAAATTGGAAGTTTGGTTGAAATTAGAACGATGTGATGGAAAAGTTGGAAGTTTGTGTATGTAGAAAAGTTTTGATATGATGGAAAAGTTGGAAGTTTAAAGAAAAAGTTTGAAACTAAACCCAGCCTATACTAAATTAGTTTCATCAAATCAATAATTAAATATATTTTCATAATAAATTTGTCTTGTGTTGAAAATTTTACTATTACTTTTTTTCTACAAACTTAATTAACTTTAAAGTAGTTTAACTTTTTCTAAAGTTAAAATGTCTTATAACCTGAAACGGAGGGAGTAGTACATTTGTATTCAAGGTAATACAATACGAAGGTAATATTAAAAGGTTTGAAAATGATAAAGAAAAGAAGGGGGAAAAAAGGTTTCTCTTGGGTTGGACAAGGCCTTATCAAACCCGGCCTGAACTATACTACCGCACAACACACAAAACGTCGACGACTAATGACGTCATCATCCGGGACCCCACCTGCCAGCGAGCTAACTAAAAATCCAAGGAAGCAAAACGAAACCGCGCGCCGCCAACCTTTTCGCGGCTTCACTTTGTTTTTCTTTTGTCTTCGTTTTTTTCCCGCGGCGCGATTACGAAAAGAGCTCTTCCCGCCGGCGCCACCGCCCGCCGACCAAAACTCCTCCATAAACCCCTCTCTCCCCGCCATTCCCCACCTCTCTCTCCCCTCCCCTCCCCTCCCTTCGCGCCTCCTCATCCGCCTCTCTCTCTCCTCCCCCTCCGATGGCGACGCGGCCGCGGTCCTCCCCGTCGTTCTTCGGCGGCCTCCGGGCACGCGAGCTCGGCGGCGGCAGGGTGCCACTGCCACGCGCCTCCGCGGCGCGGCTCCCCTACCTCGCGGACCTCTCCTCCTACCCCGGCGGCCGCGGGAGCGGGGTCATCGCCGTCGAGCACGCCGGCGACCCCGCCATACCTTTCGCCATCTCCTTCTGCAAGGTGAGCGAGCCTGGGATCTTTTGTCCCCCCTTCGTTTTCATGCGTTTTTTTTCCCGATTCCGACATCGAAAGGGTTAAGATTTGATGGGAACTGATTGTTCGATGAACCCTCGCATTTTTTTTTCATTTCAGGCGGAGCAGATCTCTCACCTTCTGGCGGTAGCTGATGAGGACGGGTATGTTGGCATCTACGACACCCGCCGGCGCCTCCCATCCAGCTCATCGTCATTGGGGAAATCAGGTTCGATTGGATCCCCCCTCTTTGATCTAGTTTTCGCACTGTTCGATTCAGTTCGTGGATGTCTGGGGCCACGCACTGGGTGTCATGTTCGATTCGTTCCGGTCTGAAACCGTGACATTCTCGCAGCTGAAACGAAGATGTCCGATTGGGTTGCCCACAACAATGCCATCTTTGATGTGTGCTGGATCAAGGTAACACCTGTTACTCTCAATCATTGAAACATGTTAGAGTTAGTGGTATAAAAGCCAATCCTCACTCACTTGTATCATCTTCTTTTTGGCGTTGTTTATTTAGGACGGTTCCCAATTACTGACTGCATCAGGCGATCAGACTGTAAGTATCGCAATAAGATCATTTTTCAGAAGTAGAATAGAATTGTTTGTTTGTTCTGCATTACAATTCATATTAATGTGATGGTGGACTGCCTTTTGATCATTGGGATTGTTTGTTCTGTATCAGGTGAAAATATGGTCTGTGGAAAACAAGAAATGCCTTGGTGTTCTGTCAGGGCACACCGGGAGTGTGAAGTCGCTGTCATGCCATTCTTCAAACCCAGGTTGGTGTTATGTTGGGAAACAAAAAATCAATTCTTCGTATATTTGTGCCTGTAAAATTTGCCAGGAACTTGTATTCAAGAACTTATTCACTGCAGAGCTCATTGTTACTGGATCAAGGGATGGTTCTTTTGCTCTTTGGGATCTAAGAATCGACCCAAAAACCCCTAATGGTCACCGTGAAGCTTGTCTCATGTATGTTGCCTTGGCTGTTGCAATCTAAATTTCCCCTTTCAACTACAGTGATACAGAAATAACAAATTACTATATTTATAACTCTGTTTGGAATGTGACACATGCTAGGTCTTCCCTTGTTGTCAAACAAGCACACAGTCCCACACAAAGAAATCGAACAAGGTCTAGAGCAAAGGTATTGAATTTGCATGGATTTGCTATTGCTGGGTATGATCATACATCCTACTGTGGTCAACTTGCTGACGCTGGTAATTTTTAGGCTGCTTCGACGAGTATCACATCTGTTCTTTATTTGAAGGATGATATCTCCATTGCTACTTCTGGGGCTGCAGACAAGTATGTCATTCCCCATTCATTTCATTCTTATAGTTCAAAAGGCATGATGTGTTGTCTGTGGTATTACATTTGAATACGAACATGATCACTTTGAATACAATTTACCTCATTTTTGTGTAACTCTGTCCAAATATTAATGTTCCACTTTCAATAATGTCTGCCAGCATTGTGAAGATATGGGATACGCGAAATATCAAATTGTCTCTCTCCAACAGAAGCTCTCAAGCAGCAATGCAACCTTTGGTAAGCAGCTAACAATCACTACGCAATATGTTTGTAGCCCAATTTCAAGACTTACCGATCATTTGTGCAGGAGGGTGTGAAACATGGGATCTCTTGCTTGTCTCAAGACTCGTATGGTGCCTATATTGCTGCGTCATGCATGGATAACAGGTATAACCGCAATCAACCACACTGCCTCAGACTTAATATGCCATTTGTGAAGGCTGCCTTTGACTTTATAAGCCTTTCAGGATCTATTTGTACAGTGCTCTTCATATGGATAAAGGCCCAATTAAGGCTTACACTGGCAGCAAAATTGAATCTTTTTTTGTCAAGGTCAGTGAGTGAACAAGCTGAGTTGATTTCCATTTTTCAAACCGCATGCCTGCTTGTTCTTAGGTAGTTTTATCTGCTATGTTTTATAACACCTGATATGTTGGTCAAATGCAGTCTGCTATCAGCCCTGATGGAACTCACATTCTTGGTGGTTCGAGTGATGGCAACGTGTACTTATGGCAGGTAGTTGTTGGATCATGTTATCATTTCGCACACGCATTAGCTGCTCTTTTACTTTCTATTCATGCCACTACTTTTTCACTGACATAGGTGGATCAGCCTGAAAGAGGTCCTATAATTTTGGAAGGCCATGAAGGTGAAGCTACTTCAGTTGACTGGTATGTTCTACATACAATTGTAGTTTTTTTTTGTGTAAATCTTATCAACCATCCAATGTTCAGATTTCAGTACGATTTTTTCACAATTTTCAGGTGTGCATCAGAGGTCGGGAAGATCGCAACGTCATCTGACGATTCCAAGGTGAGTATGTGATTAACCTTGCAAATTTTGTTCATTCAACTTTCATGAATCTTATGAGAATGAGATCCTTTTCTTTTTCTATTACACACCTACATGTTGCAAGCGAATTTAAATGCCTGTTTTGGTATGTAGAAAGGGGAGCTGCTGATATTCAGTATTTTTTTTAAGAAAACCACTGATAACAACACTTTATGATGTGTATCTATCAGGTTCGCGTATGGAATACTGAGAGAAGGGTGTTCCCAAACACAAGTTCCCCAACGGTCATCCGCAAGAGAATAACCGCACCAAACACTGGAAGCCGGTCTGCTAGCCATGAGCTAGCTACTACCTCAAGAGATGTAGGAGTAGCAGCCTGCACCAGTGCAGATGGTGAATTGCCAACTGGTTCACGCTCTCCCCTTCAGCCCAGAGTACTGGAGTTTGGCACACCGGAGTCAGCGAAGAAGAGAGCCTTTAGGTTGTTTCAGGAGGACTCATTGGACATAAGGAAAAGCCCAGAGGCTCAAATGAACAGCCCTTCTTCGGTTCTAAGCCCCCCACATTCACTGAAGAGGAGAACAATTCGGGACTACTTTGCTAGTAGCTCATCTTGTGAGCACACCAAGCATGTCCATGACCTTGCACTCTTGGCTCACTCGTCAACTGTGAAGAACCTCAAAAATGCTCAATATAGCTACAGGTGCCTGAAAAAATAACTTTAAAGTTTTGAACATCGATTTCACTAAACAACAATTATTATCTCCCTCTGAAATGTTGCTACCTAAGATGATAGTTTAGAACTCTAGAATCATTGTCGGCGGAGAAAGTAAATTATTTTCCCCAAATTTCCAGCTATGAAAAAACCCTCACCAAACACCATCAAACAAGAGTTCACCAAACCGCCCATGCGGCCATGCTGTCACGCAACGCACCGCATTGCCTGATGGCCGCTCGATGCATGCATGCTTCCCCGTGCACATATCCGACAGACGCGCCGTGTCAGCGAGCTCCTCGACCGACCTGTGTAGCCCATGCAAGCATCCACCCCCTCCACGTACACCCCCTCCTCCTCCCTACGTGTCACCGCTCTCTCCACCTATATATGCCCACCTGGCCCCTCTCCTCCCATCTCCACTTCACCCGATCGCTTCTTCTTCTTCTTCTTCGTTGCATTCATCTTGCTAGCTAGCTTAGCAATGGCGGATCGCGACCGCGCCGGGCAGTACTACCAGCAGCAGAGAGGGCAGGTGGGGGAGACGGTGAAGGGGATCCTGCCGGAGAAGGCGCCGTCGGCGTCGCAGGCGCTGACGGTGGCGACGCTGTTCCCGCTGGGTGGGCTGCTGCTCGTGCTGTCCGGGCTGGCGCTGGCGGCGTCCGTGGTGGGGCTCGCCGTCGCCACGCCGGTGTTCCTGATCTTCAGCCCGGTGCTCGTCCCGGCCGCGCTGCTCATCGGGCTCGCCGTCGCCGGCTTCCTCACCTCCGGCGCGCTGGGCCTCGGCGGGCTGTCGTCGCTCACCTTCCTCGCCAACACGGCGCGCCAGGCGTTCCAGCGCACGCCCGACTACGTCGAGCAGGCGCGGCGCAGGATGGCCGAGGCCGCCGCGCACGCCGGCCACAAGACGGCGCAGGCCGGCCACGCCATCCAGGGCAGGGCCGACCAGGCCGGCACCGGCGCCGGCGCCGGCGGTGGCGCCGGCACCAAGACATCCTCGTAAGCACGCGCCGCGCGCGCGAGTGGCTCGCGTCGCGTACGGGCTGGGTTTAGCCTGCTGGGTTTCGCTTCGCTTCGTAGTAGTCTCGCCCCCGACCGACCGAGTCAAGAGTGTGTCCCGAACGTGACCGTGCCTACGTGTCGTGTGATCCTAAAGTCTAATGTTGTACCAGCTGCTGCGTACTACTGCTACTAGGTAAGATCGATGTAGTTTTCGATTTAGAGTTGTGAATGATAATAAGCGAGGTCGGGGGGAGCAAGCGATCTGGGGAGTTTGTGCTTGATTTGAGTTGATGATGAACATATGTATGCATTCCGTGTTCCTCTGTAAGAAAAGAATTGGTGAATGAACCCATGTCTCTTTGCTCAAATGTCAGTACTTGAATGCTACATTACAGCCTAGCAATCTGCTGATTGCCGTTTTATTATCTCCAAAATGGCTTCCCAGATTAGTACATGTTCTCTCTGAAAACAGTTGAACGTTTTTCACAGCGAATGCAAACGAATCTGTCTAATGACATATTGTAAAGCCATTTTGTTTAGGACACATGGCCGCCTACTCGTCACGTGGACATTTTCAACGAGTGATGTGTCTTGGTTAGGCCACGTCGGCCTGATTGTCGGCCGTCGTGAGTGCTGACCGTTCTAGGCTAGCTATTGTTGAGGAAGTTGGGCTTTGTCCCATAAAGGCCAGCCCAAAACAATTAGGAGGTTAAAGAACTGGAATAAGTTGGTGTTTGAATCTCCTAATCTCCTAATGGTGTTTCACGCATAATAAGATGGTAATGCGTGAGAATAAGATTGGTGTTTGAATCTCCTAAAGTGTTTCACGCAAAACGAGATGGTAATAATATATGATTAATTGTGTTTTGATTATTACCATCTAAGTCATCTAAGTTTTCGCACGAAACGTACCAAGTTTTCGCACGAAACGTACCGTTTAACAGTTTGTGTTTCACGCAAAACAAGATGATAATAATGTATGATTAATTGAGTTTTGATTATTACCATCTAAGTTTTCGCACGAAACGTACCGTTTAGCAGTTTGTTTTCGCACAGAACGTACCGTATACAATTTGAAATACGTACTATTTTTATCCAAAAATTTATTCAACTTTTGTTTAGAAAAAAGAAAAGAACAGGGCCTCATCTTACTTGAATAGTTATAGGAGGTTAAAGAACTTGAATACGAACCTGTCTCCTTCGTTTTACTTTCTCCTCCTTTATATATTGTGTCTTCATTCTATTTTATACATCGTGTCTTCGTTTTACCCTGTTCTCTTTATATATTGTGTCTTCATTTTTCTCTATACCTACATAACCTTTCGAACTACTATACATAGTAGAGGGTTATCTTTCACTCTGCTCTCTTATATATTGTGTCTTCATTTTACTCTATACTCACGTAATCTTCTGAACTACTATACATAGTAGAGGGGTTATCTTCAGTCTCTATTTTACTGTCACCATATCTTGTGTCTCCATTTCACTCTGTTCTCCTCATATCTTGTATCTTTATTTTTCTACTTATGTGTTACGTAATATCTATAACTTTATCAAAAGTTATCAAGGTGTACACTAGCAACTATCTTTTTTAGGATGTACATGTCAATAAAATAATAATTTTATAACTAATAATGGGAAAAACTTTCCATTTATACCCGAATGACCGCGATGCACCTAGGCTAGCCAGAGTTGTTGGTGGTTCAAGCAGCTACGAATACCCTAGTGGTAACCATATATCTTCAATCCAATTCGCCCGAAAAATGACGGTTGAGAAGGCGAAGTAGTATACTGTAGTATATATTCTCGGTCTAATTCATATTTTTCTTTAAGATAATAGAATATCTCACATTTTCATTAAACAATAAAAATGAAATATCCGGCCTCTGCAATAAGGATACACACAAACCATAAAGAAAACAATCATAAAAAGGGAAATAAATAGACATCGTGAATATACCATGTTGTGCTCCCGCATTTTGCACAGCTAGAATATTGACATGTACGCTAGCTGAACTTGATTAGTCGCTACCAAGTACCAATTGACACGGTATTTAACTATATTGATTATACTCCACAGTATTGAACTCTATTGCTATAGGCGAAATGTCTTCCACTTCTTTTGCCTGGTAAAGTGAGGTGCTCTTTATAAAAACATCTCAGCAATAAACTAGTATGTCTACATGGGTATATATAGCTCTCTAATTCATTGTCTCGTTTTTCTCTATAGACTATCTCTAGATTAATAGATAATTTTGCTCTCTCTCTTCATTTAATCTTTTTCAAGTAGAAAAATATGTTGACATAAAACTCTTATAAAGAGTTTTTAAATAACTATTGGGGTGCCCTAACGTTGTTCAAGCCCTCGGGCCGGCGGCCGGCACATACTACCAAGCAGGGTCTGCTGGCCCTTTGGTCGATCCGACATTGGAATTCGTTATTGTACCATTATTAGAAAAAGAACTACCATTGGAATGTAATTGTTGTAATTTTTTTTAAAAAAGTAACAAATTTATAAATGCCCCTTTAATCAACAGAGGTATCCAGCTAATAAGCTTCTCGTATGTTCCGAACGGCCACATTACAGTTGCTCTAGCGGCAAGTGGATGACAGGCAATTAAAGAAAAAAAAAAGATCTTCAGATGTCGATGTGAGAATCACATTCTCTTTTCTCATCCGCCACCCAGTTCCCCGTCTGTTTGGCAAAATCAGGCAACTAGAGAGTCCTCCTCTCCCTGGTATATGCACGCGCCCGCGTTCGTGCCGACGCGTGTGAAACGGCCGAGGTCGTGACAGCAGCGGCGCGTGTTGTTTTTTCAAGTGACGGAAAAACTGACGATGTCCCGCGCCACCGGCCACCGCGCAAAGAGCGGGCGAGGGCCCCACACCAAAAATTCCATCACACCAAATATACACATACATGAGACATTAAATATGGATAAAAAACCAATGGATAAAAAACCAATTATACAGTTTGCATGTAAATTACGAGACGAATCTTTTAAACCTAATTACGCCATAATTTGATAATATAGTGCTACAATAAACATATGCTAATAACGGATTAATTAGACTTAATATATTCGTCTTTTAATATATTCATCTCACAGTTTATAGTTTATAGACAGAATATATAATTTATTTTATTATTAGTCTATTTAATACTTTAAATGTATTTTCATATATGTTAAAATATTTTTTTTCCAAACAACTAAACACGGCCACACACACCCCCTCCAACACGGGCCCCACCAACTTGGGGCCCCACGATCCAGTGGCTGACACGCGGGGTCGTGGGCCACGTCAATTCGAAGTAGAGAAAGCAAAAAAAGAAAAAAAAAAGGGAAAGCGAAACGAACGAAAGCCCAACAGATCCATCGACCGAGGAGAAGGCGAGAGCGAGCCGAGCCGAGAGCGCAACAAAAGGAAAGCAGGGAAACCTCGCCGTCCTCTCTCTCCATCCATGCCCTAGCACGCGCCGCGCAGCCTACGAGCGGGAGCCACACCTCGAGGTAACCACCACCACCATCGCCACCCTCCTCCTCCTCCTCCTCCTCTTCTCCCCTCGATCCCGTCCGATCAAAACCCTAGCACCCTCCGCGCGGCGCTGGCGGCGGCGGCGGCCGATCCGTACGGTTGCGGCGCCCGCGTCGGTGGGAGGGCGATCTGAATTCTGGGTCGGCGAGTCGGGCGGTTTTTGCGTGTGTGGTGTGTTGTGTTGGTAGGGAGGGGATCGTCCGGTGCCGTGATCGTTGGGTTTGCTCGTTCCGCTGTGGGGAGGGCGTCTTTTGGTTTGACCATCGGCGGCGCGGGGCGGGGTGCGTGTACAGATCTGTTCGGAAGTGCGTGGGAGGTGGGGGGATTGGGAATCGCGGCCGGATTTTGCTGGTATTTTGGAGGAGTTGTGATGGGATCTGTATGTGCGGGCAGATTCAGTTGTAAAGGCTGCCGTTGAGTTTCATTTCATAGGTTGTTTTTTTTTTCCTTTTGTGGGGATTGTTAGGTGTTATTCCAAGCCGTTAAGTGATCTGTTTGTGCTTTTTGGGTTTGGGGTTGGTCATTGGCGATGTTGACTTGGGTTAGGCCTCTGAAAGAGCGCGGTTATATTGTTGCGATACATTATGAACTATTATGCTGTTGCGATACAGGATGAACCACGTTTCTATTGTTAGACGAATTGTCCCGATGAACCCCTGTTCATCTCTAAATGGCTGCCATGTCTTTAATACACTGAAAATGCCTTCAGAAGCTTTGAACACAGCTTAGATTTACTACTACTGGTGTTGCCTGACATATCATTTTTACAGGTCTTCATCTGTTGCACTCATGATTTAGCACCAGCTGAAGTGACCTCTGAGACTGCGCGGTGACGTAGCCTGTTGCTAGGATAAAAATCTCAGTAGTTAAGCATGGCGGATTCTATGGTGTCAAGTTTCTGGGGGCCTGTTACTTCAACAACTGAGCTCTGCGAGGAAAATTATGCACACTCGTCATATATTGCAGAATTCTACAATACTGTTTCTAATGTTCCATGTGTTCTTCTGGCACTTGTTGGACTTGTGAATGCTCTTCGCCAAGGTTTTGAGAAACGATTCAGTGTCCTGCACATATCCAATATGATACTTGCTATCGGCAGTATGATCTTCCATGCCACCTTACAGCACGTGTAAGTTTTTCTCCCCCTAAACTCATCAGTATTGATATTGCAATAACATCACTGACCTTCAATGCTATTAATGGTGCTGCTCTCCAAGAATACTATTTTTTCTCTTATGTGCTTCAATATGATGGAACAATATGTTACATTTGTGTGTTAACATGCAAGCCATTTGATGAAAACACCATGACCTTTTTTTGTTATTTTCTATGGTTTTGCACATAAACATTATGGTTAACTTTGGTGCTATATGTTTCCTATAAAAAAATATTCATTTGCATAGGGCCCTTTTTTCCCTACTTCTAGTCGTTTTGTATAGAGAACTTAACAAAAATGAGTGATGTCCTTTTCTTGTAAGAACAAATTTGGCATCAAGTTATGGGGATCAGATAACTCTTGATTTGCCCCTTTACCAAGGGCATATTCTTTTGTACCCTTTGTTATTTTTTTTGTCTACAGTGGGCATTTGTTAACTTCTCAAAGGATTTAGCTCTTGTTCAATGACCATTAGCAACTAAGTGAACAGATTAAGATTTTTGGGCTAACTAATTCCGCAGAGGCTAATGGCTGATTAATCACCACATAATATATGCATTCTGATTAATAACCTATGTAAACTTGTACACTTCCAGATTAGAAAGTTAAAAACATGAGGTCTATTGGCCACTATAATATTATTGAAATTGGCAACACCTTGTTTATTATTCGACACTTTTGAAGCTGTGCACTTGAACACCGAACTTGTAACACTAACATGTTTCACATTATTAACGTTATATGAAAATTAATTCATTACTCTATAAAAAAGGAATACTTCTATAATATGAAAAAAATATTTATATCCACCAGGGTCATATCTGGGATTGTGAAAGGTCAAATGCTTAACTAAAAGTGAATGGATCAGCAGAGGGAGTACGTATTAATAACTTAATGTATTGTGTTTTTCATAAATATTACTTAGGAGGCTTGCTTTTCCTTTAGATAACAAGTCAATGTGGTGCTCCTTGAGCCAGTAAATATGGAATCTGTTTCATGTTTAGAAGAAAGAGTAAGACTGTGGATTGCACTCTGCTAGTAAGAATCCTATGATATAAATTTATCCTTTTGATTTACAGCATAAGCATACCCTAGTTACTGTTGCTTAAAAATTTGAACGGTTAGTACTCAACGACTCACTGCACAAATTGTGCCACAAATTGTCCAGTTATTGCACATGATAACAGTTAGCTTCCAATGCCTCATGCTTCTATGTGTCAGTGTATCTTAAAGTAGCATTGTTCTGTAATACGACTGCGGACTGCCACATTTTGGTTCTTTGACATATTGAATACCATGAAATCCACTTGATATTTTGCAACTGTTTGTTATGCAAATCTTTTGCAGAAGTAATTCCCACAGTTCTGTTTTAGTTATCTGTGGCGATCCAGTTTATATGCCTTAGTGTCAAATAAAGCACATTCCTTTTAGTTGCCATTTTGCAGATTAGAGGATTGCGGGCTGTAAATCATCTCCCAATAAATTAGGTCAGCCATTTATTGATGTGCTGCCAATTGCATCACATTGTTAGCTTGCTCAAAAGCTATAGCCTATTTTATACCAGCAACATGTAGCCCTTTTGACTAATTGGGGGCAGCTAGTATTCATCTTCTAATTCCAGCATGTTTCCTTAGTATGCACAATATGCAGTGCTAATTCTTTTGGTCATGTATTGTTTTCCAGTTTACAGCAGAGCGATGAGACTCCAATGGTGTGGGAGATTCTCCTATATCTTTATGTACTTTATTCACCAGACTGGCATTACCGGAGCACTATGCCTACTTTCCTTTTCCTATACGGTGCTGCTTTTGCAGTAGTCCATTTCCTGGTGCGATTCCAAGTGGTATTCAAGTTGCATTACGTTGGCCTCTGTCTCCTATGCATCCCACGGATGTACAAGTACTACATACAAACTAAAGACATGGCTGCCAAGCGTCTAGCAAAGCTGTGGGTTCTTACGTTGAGCTTGGCGACTCTTTGCTGGCTATTTGATCGAATGTTCTGTAAGAAGCTTTCACATTGGTACGTCAACCCACAAGGGCACGCATGGTGGCATATTCTCATGGGATTTAACTCATACTTTGCAAACACATTCTTAATGTTTTGCCGAGCTCAACAGCGTGGGTGGGAGCCCAAAATTACCCACCTTTTCGGGTTCTTGCCTTATGTCAAGATTCAGAAACCCCAAAAGAGGGAATGAGTTCTCTATTTGTCAGTGCTGTTCTCCAGGACCTTAAAGCCAACGCCCTCATGTGCTTAGACAAGAAGCAGAGGCATTTTTTTTGTATATGGGCTTCCAAGTGATTACGGACTACAGTGTTATGATGCCTCACTAGATTTTGTTAACTTTTAACTAACGCCTGTTTTGTACCATACTTAATTGTTGCTCAGAGATTAGTTGGAGTGTTGTCTCATAGTTTTGGTCATTATTTTTTGTTTCTCTACATTTGATTTTCCGTTCTAATAGGACTGAATTTTATTTGTTTTTTGTTTGTCTTGAATGTTGTCGAACAGTTTTAGTCAAGTTACTGCTTCATATGGCCATAGATTGATCTTCTGATGGTTCAATTAATTCTTTTTCTGCTGTTGTGATTTTTGCTCGACTTGAAAGCTATGATTATGTACAATTCGATTTATGTACGTTCATTTAACAGCAACTATACGTGCTTCTTGCAGAAGCACTGTTATCCGTTTCTGGTGGTAATCAATATTTACCATTACTTCCAATTTAACATTGGTCTGCCTCGAGATGGGTGTTGATACTCGTGTGGTAGCCCATGCTATAGGGTTTTTGTGATGTTGGGCAGGTATGGGGTTCTTTTGTGGCGCTGGTAATCTGAATGGGCATCCATACTACGACTGACGAAAAATTAAGAAATGCGACATATGGTGATATGTAGAATGCGCGCTGGTAATCTGAATGGGCATCCATACTACGACTGACGAAAAATTAAGAAATGCGACAGTACCGTTATGCTGATTGTTTCCTTGCATTTTATTAGGGTGTGGCTAATGGGCGATCGATCCCCACGCCCCCTATACACACCTCTCCTTCCTTACTCCTCCCCTTTTTCTCTTCCTACTACACTATAAATTAAAAAAAAATAAAAAAATAAAGTTGGAAAAAATTATGTATAGATATACTATATATAAAAAATATTTGAATTCAAATTTAAATTTGAATCGGGTATAAAAACTTTTGGCTTATAAACTTTGGGTGAATAAACTTTGGGTGTATAAACTTTAGATGTATAGAAATACTATATATATAAAATATTTGAATTCAAATTCAAATTTGAATCAGATATAATTCAAATTTGAATCGGGCATGTAAACTTTTGAGTTATAAACTTTAGGTCTATAAACTTTAGGTGTATAAACTTTAGATGCATAAAAATATTATATATAGAAAATATTTGAATTCAAATTCAAATTTGAAACGGGTATGTAAACTTTTGACTTATAAACTTTAGGTGTATAAACTTTAGATGTATAGAAATACTATATATAAAAAGATTTGAATTCAAATTTAAATTTGAATGTATAGAAATACTATATATAAAAAAATTTGAATTTAAATTCAAATTTGAATCGGGTATATAAACTTTTGACGTATAAACTTTGGGTCTCTAAACTTTAGATGTATAAATTTGAGGTGTATAAACTTTAGGTACATAAATTTACTAAATAGGAAAGTAATGCGATGCTAAAAAAAGGAAACCAGGTGGAGGGAGGGGGAGACCCGATCCGATCGCCCCTGGCGGCCCCTGGCGATCAATCGCCCAATAGGAGTTTCGATTTTATTATGGATCGTTTAGCTGACCACATGGAGATCATCAGAAACTTCGTGCAGTATATTTGTAGGTTGAGCTTATTTAAAGCTAGCACTAGTATTTATATGGACGTGACTAGACAGCTAGTGGTAGCTGGTTTGTCTAAATCAGCTACCACTCCATATATAAGAGACCCTATCCACCTATACTTCAAATAAAATTTTCTCTTAAACTACTTATCCAATCTACGATCCGATTACACCATTGTGTTCGTAACAATTAAATCTTTATAACAAGATCTCACATGATTATATTTTGATGAAAAATTATAAATTACTTTTATAATATATCTAAATTACTTTTAGATTTCACTGAATTACTTCTTCGACATATAAAAGTAAATTCAATAAAGCTTAAAAGTAATTTATATATATTATAGAAGTAACTTATAACAAAAGGAAAGTAACTTTAATTTATGCCTTTTTTTTCATTGGACGTGACTACACAACTAGTGGTAGCTGGTTTATACTCCATCTAGTGTTTCCTTTCAACTTGAAAAATGCAATAGTATGTTTCCGTTTTGTTTTAAGATACTTTTATAATATATGTAAATTACTTTTAGACTTTATTGAATTTACTTTTATATGTCTAAGAAGTAACTTAGTCAAATCTAAAAGTAACTTATATATATTATAAAAGTAACTTATGTATATATCAAAAATAATTTACAAATATAAATATTTTTTCATCGTAATATAATCATGTAAGATCTTGTTGTGAAAATTTAATTGTAACAAACACAATGGTGTAATTGGATTGTAGATCGGATAAGTAATTTGAGAGAAAAAAATATAAGAAGGAAGAAAAAGACATGCATGTCTAAGAGGAAAAACAAGCATGCACGTCAGCACGTGTAGCAGTCCTTCTGGTTAACGCTAAACCGAGAAGCTTCTCGGTTTAGATTTTTCCTATTTATATATATTGTTCTTACAAAAAAAAATACACTAAATTTGCCATCAATCCTACGTGTTCTGAACTTCTATGAGGGGAAAAAAAAGAGAGCAGACATGGAAACTAAAATATCCTATCTTTCGAAAATCGAAGTCCATACCATTTCCTAAATTAATGACTTTATAGAAACCATGTTTCTGTTAGAAGGATGTATTAAAGAATACAAGGAATCATGCCACTGATACGCGTCCACAAAATACTGGTAAGAATTCGAATCAAGATCTGTGGGATAAACAAGGATAAGATTCCAATCTCACAGCAGCACCGCCTAATATTCGCCGCATCATCCAATCTCACGCTCACAATTGTCAAAATACTCAAATAGAAATAGAAATGCTCAACAACTGAACACCACCATGTACATCCACTAGGCCACTAACACTAACTAGATTGTGGTGCGACGTCACGCGCGTGCGCAGGTTAAGCCACCTGCCACCTACCTTAGCACACCATGCAGCCTAGTTTCTGCTGAGTGGCTGCTGACTTTGCTGAGTGCTGAGCAGACAGCAGCTGCCACTAACCATTTGCCTCAGTATTCATCTCAAGAACACATTTATCAAAAGCACAGGTGGAAACAATTCTGATGAGCGAGATTTGCGATTGCAAAACAATAGCAATGTAAGTTCAATGACAATATTACATTATTACAAATCCAAGGATTATACAGGCCTCAAGATCTGACCAAAACAAGGCCATAGTATGATCCTCGACAAATGGTGAAAGGGAGAAAAAGAATACTTTGGGACTTGATATACCACTATAGCATGCCTGGTAACCAACCTTATACCCATCAGTACATCAAGTATCAATATCATAATAAACAAAATAAACACCGCTAAGGTAAAGAAAAGAATTCCGAAACACCAAACGAGTCTTCTTTTTTAACGGGGTTAATTAACAAAACAGGGAAATATTTTTGACCGATGAATTGAAGCTGCCGGGGTGCGATTCTACCTGGGTCGGTCTTGAAACGACCCCAATCAAGGTACTTCAATCTTTCAACCTACTGGAACCTCAATAATGTATATGATTTACCTCAATAAAGTAAAGAAAACCAATCTCTGAATCACCACCATCAGCTATCCATCCTTTTGCTTGCTGACCATCTTAATGAACAGGAAAAAAATTACTCCAAATTCATTAACTAAGAATAATAACTCCTTGCACTTTCCAGGCTCATTCAGCGCTTATGTTGCTAGACTACCAATATGCTGATCAAGCTGCATCTGTTCAAGCAATGCTCCAATAACAGCAGCTTGGTCATGCCCATCCAGCGGGGCATTCAGACTAGGACCTTCACCGTTGCTTACACTGGGAGGCATCAGTGGTGAAGGTCCAACAGAGTTTATGGATTCAGCAGTAGTGACTTGCTTCTCTGGTGGAGATTCCTTAACCAGTGTGTGTACCCAAGAGAGATCTGGATCATCACCACCAGATCTCAGCTCAAACGATGATGACCGGCGAAGCTTGCCCAATTCTTCACCATTAACACCCCAGTCAGGTGTCCCTGAAGGTGATCCCCACTTTGACCATGATGAGCTTAGAGGGGAGCCAACAACACCTGATGCTCTTGCAGCACTCGGCCCAAGATCACGAGAACTGAGACTTCTCATTGTCTGCTGTTGCTTCTCACGCTGAGCAAGAGCAGCAGCAAGATGAGAGTTCATAGGGGACCCAGATTCAACACATCGAGGAGACATGCGGCCAGGGGAGGATATACCAAGTGATGCTTGCAACAGAGATGAGTGTGAAGGCAACTGCTGGTTGTCCACAGACTTCGGGGAGAAGACTGTGTTGATTGGTGAAAGAAGTGCCTGCTGCTGTTGCTGGAACTGATTAAGGAAAGCAGCCTTGTGAGATGGTGAAAACATACCACCCTGATCAGCATTACTATACCTCGGGGAAGAGACCATCTCAGCAGAGAAGAGATCATCCAAGTTTGACGGATTTAGGGACTTGGTCCGAGACGTGTGGTTTCCTGTTGATGAACCAATACGTGAATAGCACAAATCATTTATAAGCTGTGAATCAATATCCTGCATCAGGGAGTAATCATCAGCAGGCATATCCCTTGCACTAAGTGAGGTACGGAGCCGGCTCGACTGAAGGCTGCTGCCTGGAAGGTGTAGTGTCGGAACATTTGGCTGCTGCCAGCCCAATGAAGGGGGCATCCCATTGCCTGAAGGGGACATTGGTGGTGTAAATGGGGACATGACTGCTGAAACTGATGATGGAGAACCAGGCATCAAGCCCATTGCTGCAGCCATCTCCATTGTAGCTGTTGCCGAGGCTCTTGGGGATGGTACTGCAGATCCAGTGGAAACATATAGTGGTCGGAGCTCATCAGTTGTATGCGCAAAGAAACAGACACGGCGATTACAGCTTGTGCCATCCTTGCAAAGGCGAGTACGGTACTGTGCTGGATGGAGCCAACACTCGAACACGCCATGAGCATATTCACACATGTCACCACGCCGGCAAACTCCCTTTCTAAAGTCGGGGCATGGCACACAGCTGTAGTGATACTTGCGAGGGTCCCGACGCCGTGCGTTCTCCCCTGGGTGAACAAACGGGCACTCAGTCCAATCATGTGAGTACGCCCGCGAGCATGGCCTGATCTTAAATGAGTACATGCGGAACTCATCGGAAGCATAGATGCTGTTCTTGATATCGGGAAGGGACGGATCCACTGGATATTCTTTCTTTTCCGATGTCACAACCCTTGGAAGATCTGCAAACTTTGTCGTCATCATCACAGCAGCTGATGGAGATCGTGCATCTTCTGCTG